TAAAGGAGAAATGACGCGAGAATAGGATTGATTAGTCTTCAGATTTTTGCATTTTATTTAAAATCCCTACTTAATTAGAAAATGAATAATCCTTTAAAGATTTTCTTGTTTTCACTTGTTGAATTCAAGAAATTCTAAAGACTGATTTTTTTAGAGTTTGTACACATTGAATTCATTGTCAATGTTTCGGAATCAATGGTATGACCAAGTGATGCAAACTAAAAATACGATGTTGTTTTTCTACAGTTAGTCTTTTGGAGACAAATGAACATTTGTCATCCAATTTATACATTACGTCACGTAATTGGACACAATTGAACTTTACTTCATTTTGTCAATTTCAATGAATTTTCTGAGATCTTAATTTTAAATTCTACAGAGAGTGTTAAAAAAAATGACACCGACAAAGGGTGATCTTTTCCCCATAATTCAAAACTTCACCTTTGGAAAACTCGCATGGACTTCGAATTGTTTGAACAGCATTGAGAAGCACAAAATGTAACGGAAAAATATTTAGAAAAGGGAGATTGTAACGATTAAATTAGATCATAAAAAATCAAATGAAAATTGAAACCTATATGCAAATGTCTCTGTTAAACAGCCAAAGTTTCGTGTCATAATGCGAAAATTCCGCGTTTGTTCGCGAAAGTTTTGCGTTTATTCGCGAAGTTACGCGTTTATTCTAGAAAGTTTCGCGTCATAACGCCAAAATTTTATTTCCTTAACCTACGAAAATGAGTTCAGTGGGCTTTTGTAGGTACCCCTTGCTTTCAATAAAGGAAAAATAAAGCTTTCCGTCTGAACAGTGAAATGATCTACCTCCGATTCTGCCCAGGTCGCTGCTGTATGGCTGAACATATAGCATTTATTTTGGAATTGTATCCAACCAACTTCGCATCCTGAAAAATCAATTTAGGATATTCCAAATTGAAAGTATTAGGAAAAATATGTATATTCGATCCGAAAATTATTGTCTAAATGGAAATTATTAGGCAAATATGCATAATATGAAACTCAGAAGATAAATATGTTGCTTCCTTGGTCACGTATCATACAATGAAATGTGGAGATTTACAAAACAGTACATTAATAAAGTTCAGAAATCCATTGCAGACTTGCAAATCGTGAGCACAGCTCTCGTTATCGGGAGTGGGATCGGATGCCATGGAAGAGTAAGCATCCCCTGTCGACTTGTCAAATCAGCCATTTTGTGTTATGATCGGGCAAACGGAATTACAGAATTCAGTGTCAGATTCCCAAAAACTATGGTGTCCCGATAGGGCCATTGCAAAACTGTATAAGTCCGTTAGAAACAACACGCAAGAGCATTAATGACAACGCCCTAGCGCGTTAATGTCAACGCGCTAGCACGTTAATGACAAAGAGTTGTGTGTTAGTGTAAAGTCGTGTTGTGAACAACGCGCTAGCGTTTTGTCATTAATGTGCTAGTACGTTGACATTAATGCGCTTGCGTGTTGTATGCAAACAACACGCAAGCGCATCAATGACAATGCGCTAGTGCGTTAATGACAATGCCCTATTGTTGTATTGTTGTATTCTTGTATTGTTGCATTCTTGCATTGTTGTATTCTTATATTGTTGCATTCTTGTATTGTTGCATTCTTAAGCTTGTATTGATGTATTCTTGCATTGTTGTATTGTTGTATTTTGTATTACTGTATTAATTAGAATACGCTATTATTGTATTCTAACAACACACAAGCGCGTTTATGACAACGCACTAGCGCGTTATTCACAACACGACTTCGCGTTAACACACAACTCGTTGTCATTAACGCGCTTGCGCGTTGTCATTAACGCGCTAGCGCGTTGACATTAACGCGCTAGCGCATTGTCATTAATGCGCTTGCGTGTTGTTTCTAACAACGCGCTTGCGTGTTGTTTCTAACGCGCTAATACACTTTTGCAATGGCCCTATCGGGACACCATAAAAAAACCTCTTTTGATTGACATTCATAAAAAAACTATAATCTGAATTTCAATTCTTGGTGAACTATGAAGATAACAAACAATAACCATGCTCAAAGGTCAATTTAACAATACAAATCTGGAGAGGAGTAAACACGGAACTCTAAAACAATCAGAGATGGGATCAGGTGCCATGGAGGAGCAAACACGGAACTCTAAAACAATCAGAGGTGGGATCAGGTGCCATGGAGGAGCAAACACGGAGCTCTAAAACAATCAGAGGTGGGATCAGGTGCCATGGAGAAGAAAGCATCCCCTGTCGATCGTTCACGCCCGCCGAATGTTCCTTGTCATGATTGGGGGAAAGTTGAAAATCCCCAAAATTTGAAAATACCCACACAATTTATTGTTTAAAAAAATGTACAAAAACTAACATGAAAAAGAAAAAACGTTGGTTGGCAATTATAACTATAAAATGATAGATTGTATTTTCTAACAAGGTCATTATATCGAAACCACAGGGGTCGGTAACATACAAGTACTACATTTGGTAAATATAAAAAAATACATAAATTTGATATTCCCGATCTGGTTTTTAATAAAGTCACGTTTTATAAATTTTACATCATATTTTGTTAATCGTTCTTGAAGTTTTTTTGTTTTTTATTAAAGTTTATTCAATATGATTGATTGATTGATTGATTGATTAATTGTATGTTGTTTTACGTCTCATTCATTCAATATGAAAAAAAGAATACCTTTCGTACAAATGACAGTACCAAGAACAAGTAGTGCGGTGGTTAGCTTCATTCTTCTAAGTACGTAATGTGTAAATGCACGATTTCTTATCTTCTAGATAATAAATGTACAAGGAAATGGCTCCAAAAACAAATCACAGAGAACGAGGTTACACAATATGCAAAAATCCGCGATTTTTAAATGAAAGGAGTTCATTAATATAATTAAGGAAAGTTATGACGTTAGAAAAATTGAAGCATTCGGATTGTTATAAATTGATATCACCGTTAATCCTTAGTAAATTACTTGTATATAGATATAAAACAGGTACATATATTTCAGATCGAGATATAAAGTGATTCTCGCGTTATCTGGCGTTGAATGAGATTTATTGAATCACAGAATTATTGACAAAAAAGTAGTCCAGCTGAATTCTAAAACCAAGTCAGGTCCACACAACGTGGCACTTTCTGGTCAGTTTTTTTGTGTTTTTCTTGATAATTCAAGAAAGTTACCCCCTCCCCCAAACTATCTGGTCAATGGTCAAGGCTATTTGGGGGGCTTGTAAGATTTGGGGGGGGAGGTTAAGTCCCCCTTCCCTACTTTTGAAACTATATTGCTACGTACTTGCAAGTACCTACTTTCATATCTCAGTGGCTAATTTTCAACTGCATCTATGGCACGCCAGATTCACAAAAATGAGCTAAATCTAGTTTCACAATTGATAAACTAGGTTTATCGACTGTAAACTATAGTTTACAAACCGTGAACGATTCGTTAACTATAGTTTTCATCTGTAAAACTATATTTAACGGTTGTTAACTATAGTTTACGAATGATAATCTAAGTTTATCTGTCTGTAATAAAGCGTTAACAATAGATTTTGTTGATAAATATAAATTCACGTCTGTAAACTATAATTTACGATCGTTAACTATAGTTAAGAGTTGTAAACCATTTGTAAACTATAGTTTACAGTCGATAAACCTAGTTTATCAATTGTGAAACTTGGTTTAGCCCATTTTTGTGAATTTGGCGTGCCTTATTTATCAGATAATCTATGTTTTGCGATCGCAAATGATTGTTTTCGGTGTTAAGGTATAGTTTACGGTTGTGAAACATAGATTATCGCGTTAACTACAGATGTAAAATATAGATTAACGTTGTTACCTATAGTTTACAGTCCGCAAACCATAGTTTACAACCGATAAACCTAGTTCATCGACTTGAAACTATGATTACCTCATTTTTGTGAATTTGGCATGCTAAACATAGTTTCACAATGGATAAACTAGGTTTATCGACTGTAAAGTATAGATTACAATTCGTTAACTATAGTTTTCATCTGCAAAACTATATTTAACGGTTGTTAACTATAGTTTACGAATGCTTATGTAAGTTTATCATGTGTGTTTATATGTCTGTAATAAAACGTTAACAATAGATTTTGTTGATAAACATAGATTCACGTCTGTAAACTATAATTTACGATCGTTAACTATAGTTAAGAGTTGTAAACCATAGTTTACAAATCGTGAAACTGTATTTATCAGTTAACCTATGTTTTGCAATCGCAAATGATTGTTTTTGGTGTTTAGTATAGTTTACGGTTGTGAAACGTAGATTATCGCGTAGATTAACGTTGTTAACTGTAGTTTACAGTCCGGAAACTATAGTTTACAACCGATAAACCTAGTTTATCGACTGTGAAACTATGTTTTGCTCATTTTTGTGAATTTGGCGTGCCATATGCATCAGGTATAGGGTAAATGAATCTTAGATTTACAGTCAATAAAAAATTATTGATAATAAAATAAAAATTGTTTCTTTTGAATTTCTTGTGAATTTTAAAAATGAGGAAATATATTAATGACAGTATATTGTCTTATTATCACGATGAATAAATTATGTAATTTGTAATTTTATCATCTGATTTATACAAAGCATGAAAAGGTTTGCAAGAGGTCATATAATTTACATTTTATACAATATGTTTGTATTTCTTATAAATAAAAATAATAGTCCAATGGAATCGAAGTTTGTGCCAGATTTTTTAGATAAATTAGGCATTCTTTGTATCTGTACAAAATACCTCAATTCCCATGCTGTTCAAAGCTCGTGTTTTGCAGATTTTTATTAGGTCTTCCTAAATGGTTCATCATAATACTTAATTTTTATTATTTATGCGAATTACACTGCGATAAATTTCCTAAAGGACAAAAAAATGGCCAAATATCTTGGTTTCAGAATGTTAGGAATCGGGCTCAAGATGCTAAAAAATTTTTGTGTAATGCACCACGAGTTTGAATGTTTACATGATTATTTGTTAAACTATGACTAGCATAGTCTAAAAAAAGTCTTTAAATGGATCAAATAGCCCACAGATAGGATAATTATTTTAGGATCATGTCGTCGTCCATATTACGCAAGAGTTTACAGTTATTTGATGACGAGGACCAGGAGGGGAAAGGTGAATACATATGTATTTTTGGTAGTAGTTTTTTTCCAGTAGTGAGAACTGCTACAGAAGGCATATAAATCAAGGAGACATTTAAATCGCATAGATGTGGAATGTAAACATTCACACATATGATTTTTTCGCAATCAGAACCTACACTACGAATTTAAATGGAGAAGAGAGTGATTGTGTAGTTTCATGGTGCACAAATAATAAATGAATGATTCTAGTGTTTAGGGATGGGGTAGATATCTCGCACCACAGACCATAATACGGAGGCGACACAAGCCTATATTTAATAACCACACTGTCAATACCAGAATTCTTTCAAAGCACCCCTAACGAAAAACATAAAGTAAAATAATTTAAGAGACATAATCTCCAAACCCTAGGCCTATTTAAATATTGCAAAAATCTTCCGTAGTTTGAGGTTGTAAGTACGATAGAAGCACAATAGAAACTTCCAGTGACAAATACAATGTTCAATGAAAGCGTTAGTGTATCGAACAGTGGAATGTCACATGAGTAAAGTGATTTAAGGAATCACTGTCTAGTTAGTGTAGTATGCCAGGGCATCAACGATAGTGGGAAACATGGGATAATCTGCATAACAGGCGAAGGCCGTTATGTATAAATTATCCCATGTTTCCCACTATCGTTGATGTCCCTGGCATACTATACTAACTAGACAGTGATTCCTTATATTTCCATTTTATTGTGAACAAATTTGTAGATTTAGACTCTAAAACTGTAGACATAGATTTGAATTACATGACGACTCCCATGCCAGTTTCAATAGATCTCGCCCACTGCATGACGTCAAACACAAAGGCAGCCGCACGAGACTTACATGCATATTTGGCCTCCTTAGCATCAGACACAGAGACAGATGCGCACAAGGTTTGCATGTATATTAGGTCTCCTTAGCTCCTGATCTTTCGACCTGCCTAATTTACATTGGGGTAGAATTATCAAGAAATCAACTCCGCTTACTTTCAAAGAGTTATCACAGAGAAAAAAATTAGAAATGGAAATATTATAATATCAATCGTTGACACTCGGGGACCTTTTAATTTAGTAGCTAACTCGAGCGTTGTTTGGGGACATTTTTTTTTTAAAATTAGATATGAGCCGCAACTTGGCCAACATTGTCCTTTGGATATGTATAAGTTTAAATTAAAATACACATTCTGCAAATGAGACCAATGGCCAAGTTGCGGTTCGATGTAAACAATGTCCTTGAAAACTGATATGCATATGAATAACAATAGAAATGTGACAAAATTGTGAGACCCCCGTCTCAAAAGCTAGTGTCACTCGGCACTATTTAATACTTTCATACAATCTAATATACCAAAACCTGCTCTTAAGATATTGTTTAATACCTATAAAACATAAATTTAATGAATTTTGGAATTTTATTTTGCGCAAAACATCGGGATCCAACTCTATAGCTTAAGTGCACTCATCCTTTATTGCATTTGACTTTCTGATCTCCTTAATTTCTTTTCACAGATGTCACAAAAAAATCACTGGCAATAAATGCCAAAAAAAAAACAATAAGTGCCAAATTCATCAGATTCTGATGCTGAATTTACCTGTTAACTAGGGACCGATTTCATCAGGTACTTTGTCTGATTTGTTCTGTCCACACAGAAATTTACTTATCTTCTAGATTAAAGAAGAGGCCCCTGTTTCCTGTAATTGTCCAATAAATTGTGTTGCCACAGGAGCTTGCTCAAGGCATGTATAAAATAATTATTTAAAAAAAACATTAATGTGTTTTAGCATATCCTATGTTTTTAAATTCAATATTTTCACACACCTCTGCAGCCAGACAGAGCAAGCCCCTGTCATCTGGGGCACAGCCACTTGTTTTTTACAGTAAAACTTGGTCATGTTGGTTATAACGAAATCACTGGAACCTGTGAAATTACTTTGCTATATCCATAATTCATTATATCCGTATAGGGAATTCGTTGAATTAATATTTTTTTTTTTTTAATAATAATCAATATTTTATTATGTTAGATTACATAATTGGATTGGACATCAGGCATGGCCTATATAAGTCCTCTCCAAGTTGAATTAATATTGTTGGGGATCCAAAAAAACTTCGCTACATCCGTAAATTTGCTATATCCATGTTCGTACTAAGCGAGTTTTGCTGTATACAGGGCACCCCCTGCTTATTTTTAAGTAGGGTGTATCCCATATATGAAACAAATGCCTGTGATCTGGGGTCTTTCCGTCGGAGGTTGGAAAAACAACCTCAAATGTACGCGTGTTATCATCACTGGATGTTAAAAATTTATATTAAAATTAAATATTTGGGTACATCTTTTAACCACAATGAACCACAAGGAACCACAAGGAACCACAATGAAACCACAATGAACCACAATGAAACCACAATGAACCACAAGGAAACCACAAGGACATCTTAATTTAATTTTAATGAATATATATATGGTTTATATGTATTTTATAGTCATCTGAGTCACACAGGTGACCTATTTCTATCTGTTATTGTCCGACGTTGTGCTTCCTGTCCGTCTGTTTCCTAATCTTTTGAACCATTTCAGCTCCTTTTCTTGAACAGCTTATCCAATTTCAACCAATTTTGGCAGGGTACAAAGCATCTATAGGTAAAGGGGAGCAAAACTTTTTGGATTTCAAAATCTCTTACCCACAGGGCCTGAGGTTGGGACCAAAACCATCAAAATTAATGCAGTTTTAAAAATCATTTTCCTTACATCTGGGCATCAAGCTGTAAAAATTTTGGCATGCTTTAAACATAGGTAATCAGAGATTACAGAGCTCACCTCAACGAATGTTGTCTTTAAGTAAGGCAAAGTCACACAATTAACCAACAAAAAGTATACATTCCAAAAATGAAAATATTTCTAAAAGCAATTTTGATCTGATACTTTGAAATAGACCTACATAAAAAATTTAAACTACTTCTTCTTCATGAAAATGTAATGAAAATCCAGCATCTGAAGCAACTTTGAGAGTTTTCATCTCTTGATGCAGCATTTGTGCAAGTTTGGTTTATACAATGTTATATAAACCTTATAGTTTTTGGTAATAGACCTGCAACCATAACTTTTACCTTGTCTATTATCTGAAAAATGTATGTCCAATTCAGCATCCGAAGCAAGTCCATTAGTGTGCATCCTTAGATGTATCATCCATGCAAGTTTGCTCATTATAGGGCTCATAGTTTATTGGAAATGAAACATGCATCAAAACTAACATTTTCACTCATCCACAAAAAGTAGGTCAGATTCAGCATCCGAAGCAAGCCTGGAAGTATGCATCCTTAGAATCATATATGCAAGACTGGTCATTAAAGAACTCATAGTTCCTTGGAAATGAAACCTGCACCAAAAACTTTTAACTATTCACTCAACCGGAAAATGTAGGTCAGATTCAGCATCCGAAGCAAGACTGGTAGTATGCATCCTAAGATGTATCATCCATGCAAGTTTGGTCATTATAGGGCTTGTAGTTACTTGGAAATGAAACCTGCACCAAAAACTTTAACCTGTTCACTCAACCGGAAAATGTAGGTCAGATTCAGCATCCGAAGCAAGCCCGGTAGTATGCATCCTTAGATGTATCATCCATGCAAGTTTGGTCAACATAGGGCTTATAGTTACTTGGAAATGAAACCTACACCAAAAACTTTAACGTGTTCACTCAACCGGAAAATGTAGGTCAGATTCAGCATCCGAAGCAAGCCCAGTAGTATGCATCCTTAGATGTATCATCCATGCAAGTTTGGTCAACATAGGGCTTATAGTTACTTGGAAATGAAACCCACACCAAAAACTGCACCAAAAATGTTAACCTGCTCCAAAAACATTAACCTGGTAATTCCTTTGCTGAAATTGCAGCATCTGAAACTTTGTCTGGTACAATAAAACACACTAAAACCATCTTCCATGCATGTCTAATCAGTATAGGACACAGAAGTAATTAAAAAGAAAACTGCTCCAAAAAACTTAACCTTAACCTGGGACGCCGACACCGACGCCGAGGGTATCACATAAGCTCCCCCCAACTTCGTTGAGGTGAGCTAAAAATGCATTTACTCTACTACAAAATATGTAAAATTTAAATTAAAAGGATAAAGAACTCTGGAGACCAGGTATTAAATTATTAACTTTTTAAAAACTGTAACAATAGTATTGAGTATTGAGGGCTTACTTACATGGACAAGGAATGCTGCGCATTCCCCATTATAATGTGTTTGGACTTTTTAGGAACTTTAAAAAATCAAAATTTTTCTCATTTAGGCAGGCCCGGGACTCTTTTTTTTTTTTAAGGACAGACGAGACGTTCCTTAATAATAGATAAATTTTTCTAAGAGTTTGTCATTGAAGTATTGCTACTTAAACATGTTTACTCACAAAAAATTGAGGTACCTAATACCAGGCATTTCTGCGAGATACCAGGGGTAGTTTTTCTTATATAATCCTTTGGGGAAGAAAAATAATTTTCGAATTTCAAAGTTTTAAGTGTTTGGATGTTTTAAAAACGTTTAGAAACTGCTTTAGAAATCATAATGTTATTAAAATTTTGAACATTTTTCATACATTACGAAGATATACAAAACATAATTTGAGGAACATCTCGTCTGACCTTAAATTGCATGGAAGATGGGACAGGCACCTTTGATGCAAACTTCAGATAACTGACATCAGTATTTAAAAGTTTCATGTATATTGCCATTACAATGTACTCCAAGTTTTTCAGTTAATATTTTAATCGACTCTGAATGAAATATACAAATAGAATAGTTATATGTATTTAAATATGCTATGTACAAAGAAAATGTTTTTACCTTAAAATATGAATTCTGTCAGATATCATGAGTGTATAGGATGATTTTTGTACAGTGGAATTAGAGAGTAAAATTTAGAGACAAATTAAGATGTCCTTGTGGTTCCTTGTGGTTTCATTGTGGTTTCATTGTGGTTCCTTGTGGTTCATTGTGGTTAAAAGACATACCCAAATATTTGATAGACGGATTTAAAAGTTCCTTCTATTGTTTATTTTAGGTAATATATTTACATTCAATAAAGTTAAACTTCATACTCCAGAGATAAGAGGTCTTCCCACATTTATTTCAAAGTTTAGTAGTTTACAAGGGGGTTGTCAGGATGTCTACGTAATACATTTGAGGTTGGTCTCCACTAGTCGGAAAGGTCCGAGAAGTTGCGATTGACCTTATACAGTACTACGCATTGCTAATCTTGGGAGCAGTCCTTTTGGTCCCACCTACAGCTGTTTATGGTGCTACAGTATATCAAATCATCAAATTACATAAATATATTAATATACATGTACAATAAAGATTTTCAAAATATGATGATGACAATATACATGTTCTTAAATTAATACCAGGCAGTCTGAAGAAAAGAAAAGGAGCTTCAAAAGATGTTAGAATCAAGGAGGACTCTTCAAAGCGAGGCATCAAGAAACGCAAGAAGAAACAAATCAGCAAAGCTAAGACAAAACGCTCGTCGGAGTCAGCTCTAGGTATAAATAGAAAATAAGTGTAAAATCTGATTGGTTTCAGGTGCATTGTCAGCCATTGTGCATTTTTTTCTCAAATTTACATTTACATTGACAATGGAAATCTGCAATTTACTCCTTCATAATCTTTGCTAGCTGCCTTAAAAAATTTCCTTTTTAAATCTCATTATATCAGCTTCAAGGTTGATTCAGTTAAAAGTGCTTAATAGTACATATTTTTTCAGAGACATACAACAGAAATAAATCCCTTGACTTTACTGAGGAATCTCTGCATTATCTCAACATGATTTCAAGTATTGAAGGAAAACCTGATTCCAAGACTGTAAATACTGTAGGTATCTGTATCATGATACAATATCTTTTTTTATTAAAAAGTACTAGCTTTATATATAATAGTACCATTGTATTTGACATCGGAAGAAATTCATTAAAATTTGCTGTGATGTTTTAAGTTGGTTTTCTAAGACTACTTTAAATGCACATAACATACTTTATCTTGAACAAAATAAGCCCATTTATGACTGTTTTATATTAAAGATGCATAATTATTTACATTATTTTTAAAAAAGTGTCTTTCTAGAAAACTTATCATGTTAATGAATAATTTTAATCTCAAAAAATAAACAAAAGCATTTTGACGACCTAAAATCTTTATTAATTAACAAATCTTACATCAAAAGATTAATGAACTCCTTGTTTTTGTAGATTTTGGAACATAACAAGGGGAGGTCATCCAAGAACCTCAAGGAAAAGGAGACCAAACCAGTGGCGGCGTCTGTGTTCAGTGAGAGGGACTTTGAGGATTTTAGGAAAGAATATTTAAATTCATGACATGTACATGTAAATCTACCATGTATATCTATCATTATGATTGTGTTTTAGAAATAAGTATTGACAGTTTGAATGTGATACACATATTAAATTAAAAAAATAATCTGTGACTTGGGAGGCTGCTACCATTTGTTTTCTAAATTCTGATGAATATTTATGTAAAAACACTTCCATAGTTCATGAAGTGAAAGGTCAGTGCATTTACATTACTGAATCTGGTTTACAGTCAGTTGGGACAAGAAAACTGTCAATTCTCCATTATGACCCAATTCTGAATGATTAATAAATGAAAGGTATATAATATTACTGATCCATGCATTTTTTCCAAATAAAAATGTCCAAAGATTTGTATTAAGTTTGTTCTTGATGTATTTAGATAAACTGTGAAATCACTAATTTTTTTTTGGGGGGGGGGTTAATTTTCATGGTTTTCAGAGTATGAAGAGACCCACAAATTTGTCCACCATGAAATGTAATTTTCACATATACCATACATGTATTACTACTGAACAATTCTTCAACCACAAAATCAAATCCCTATATGAACCAATGCAGTCTTCACAACAGTTTTTTTTTTCAGCACATGCCCGAAGGGCATGTGTACCTATCATTTTAACCCAGTCCATTCTAATTTGTACATGCCCCACTCAAAATTCTTTCATAAACCAGTTATGATTGTGCAACCAAAAAAAATTAAGATTTTTATATCATTAATACTTTAAGGACAGGACAGTGTTTCTGTTTTTAAATTCTCTCAAGATCTCTCTCAATTTTAAGTTCAAATTGTTTTCAGAGTCGTAAATCAACCATGGCCTGCCATTTTCTATTCGCGTTTTTGTTCACAAGTTTTGACACACATGCTGGTTGTTTGTTGGCCGGTTTAGCTGAACTGAATTTCCAAAATAGGATCATGACTGCAGTCCACTGTCGTGGCATCAATGAACATATAGTAATTTAGCAAGACACTTCGAGATAACAAATAGGTTAGATTAACCACTTCAAGGATTACGAATGACCATCATTTGACAGGTCATACCGAGAATGTAACATTAGACTTCAGACTGGCAGTCCATCTTAAAACATTACATTTCAAGTTTATGCGAATAACTGGGGTACGACAGAAAAAATGGCAAGTAAACATCGTGTATTGAAAGAAAATTCACACATGGCCTTTGGGCATGTAATTTGAGAATTTTTACATGCCCACTGGCAAATTTACCAGGTCCCGGGCATCGGGCACCCAGGTTATTTCGAAGACTGCCAATGTATTTTCCTTAAAGCACAAAAATTGACCCCTCGAAAATATGTGATTTTACAGTAACTGAATTATTTCCCTTCTCTCAAATGTATAAATCTGAAAAAGAGATAATCTTTGTTTTTGCATCATTTTAAAAATCAGCTGGTTTGTAAAGTGGTCAGGAACTTTCTGCACAAGGTGCATGTGCAATTGGAAAGAAAAATAAGATAATTAATTATGCATTATCCATTTAAGCTTATGACACTCCTACCTAGTACTTTTCAAGAACAGATACATGGCATGAGAATAGTACATCTAAATTAGAATGGACCTATTGTTTCAAAATTTAAAAAATTTTTAATCTATATTATTTTTATTCACCTTGAATTGCAGATCTGGCCACATATTTTTAAACTGTCTATTTAAATATATCAATATTTTCTACCTTTTGACCTTCGTGTTGGACCTACTTTTGAAAAACCTCAACTTTTCCAACAACTTCTGAATGGTGGTGCTAGGGCTTTCACATTTCCCTTTGACCAGACCTTTCTTTGGTTAGCAACACTTTATGACCTTGGAGGTTTCATCTACTTTTTTCAGACTTTAACCTTGGGTATGAATTGTCATATTTAGGCATCAATCTTTTACACACACCCACAAAATCTTATCTTCTATAATTATAGTATAAAGTAGGGATGTCAAAATATTTATTTTCCTTAGTAGAACATTCGATTGCATTATTCGAATGATAGTCGACTATTCGGAACATTTTTAAAAAAAAATATCTTATCGATAGCATATTTATAAATGAAAAACCCTTTTCGTAAATTTATTAAAAAGTAACATCAATTGCATACACAGTGTATTACACACCGATATTCGCAATATTAATTCGCCAAAATGTGTAAATTCTTGTAAATTACAGTCATAAATTGGTCTGTACATTCTTTCATCATTTCCTTACTATGTAAGATTATGATTTGAGTAGATTATGTTTTTATAATTATCGAAGTTTCAAAACTTCACAGCTATGGTGTGTTCCTATAGCATTCTTAGAGGTAAAAAATAAATTTATAATTGGTACTAGTCCAACAAATAATTTTCAAAGTATAGCGCTGCATAAATTAATTTACTATAATAACAAAAAAGGTCAGTAATTGAGAAATAAGTATTGCGGTATGTAATTACTGTACTTTCCATATAATTATATACAATGTAGAAATTTATTTATATACTGTTACTGTGTTTAAGCTCTTATTCGTCTGAGGGCGGATGCTATATAATGGTTTGAGGAATGACGCTTTATCAATTTTGAGTTGAAAATTTCTTTATCACCTCCTTTTTCTGCATTTATTTAATATTCAAATGTCGTTTCATTATTCGATTATCGGTCCATTCGACTGACAGTCGAATAGTCAACGACGACTTTTCGTTAGGTATTAAATTTATATTTGTTAATTTTCTAAACAATTAAAAATATTACATGTATAAGTAAAATAAAAACTTTAAGCATACATGAAATTCTTGTTGAAAAAAATCATGTGTAATGGTTTGGGCCGTGGATATCAGCCTGGGTAGCTCAGTCGATAGAGCACCTGACTAGTGATGCATGCCAGCATGGGTCCAATTCCCGGTCCAGCCATACATTTTCTCCCTTCCTGTTACATATTTGGTGCCGTTGACCACCCCTGGTTTACTACCCCCTGATAGTCCTGCCAGGGGGTAATAAGAACATGAGTTGTGTCTTCGAGGACAAAGACCATTTAAAGTAATATACGCCGTATGGATGCCGATTTGTATGTGAAACAAAATGATTAAATGATTTGAAACACATAAAGTGTAATGAAAAAATAATATTTCCACAAAATTTAACTATAAAACTCGTTGTAATAATAACAGAACAATAAAGCAATATCTGCAAACAAGAATTCAGTCTTTTCATGAATATTGATAAAGGAAGTGCGTAAACAGTAGGTCTAAATATAGACACGTATGTCCACGGGAAATTATAGACAACGAGGCACGTTGCATTTTGACAACGATTATTAATAAAAGGTTAATATGCGTCATAACAGAGTATAGATGGTTGATACTGATTACATTTAAAGATAAGTTATATTAATAGTAACACGCCATCCATGTCAAAAGTGAGTTGTATCTCAAAGGGCTTACCTCGTTTTCTTGACGCCGTGTTTGTTTATCAATCTAAAAGTAGCGACGGCGTCACGTGGTGGATTTACTTAAAATAGACATTATTCTCCTTGCAGGATAATAAATAATTATAATTTGATAACTTTATAACGAATTTTATTTAAATGGTGTAATTTACAGCATTTTCGTAACTTTTATTGGTAAACAAAATATATAAATTTCCAGCCGTATTTTAAAATGGCGCACGTTATAGCGTATATTACTTTAAGGAGGGAGGAATGTAATGGTTTGGGCCGCGGATATCGGCATGGATAGCTCAGTTGGTGGAGCACCTGACTGGAGTTACAGGGGGTCTTGTGTTCATTTCCCGGTCCAGCCATACATTTTCTCCCTTCCTGTTACACACTATTTAAACTCACGATTACACTGTTTCAAACAAAAAAGCCATTTCTTTTGACAAGTGAAATTTTATTACACCTTAATGGCTTACACATGTGACAGAAGTCACACAATATACCAGTCCTTTACAAAATAGCACTATAACTGAGGTATCATTCTCTGTTAATATCCTTGACCTTTTATTGAGCTTCCTGGTAAATCATCTTCGTGAGAACCAGAACTCTGAAATAAAAAGAAGAAAATTAACATCAGATTTAATATACTAACCCATCTCACCCCGAGGTTCAAGGGCCACTACTCTTACCTGAGTCAAATAACAAAGGTGTAGGTGAATGAAACTCCTTATAGTCCTAAACTCTAATGCATGTTCTGAACAACTGTTAATCAGATTTGGCTCATTTGAGCTATAAAAAAAAACTTCTAAATGCATGAATGTTTATCAAATAAATTTATAATGCAGATATATTGAGAAAAAGGAATAAATATATTCTATTTCTGATGTCAGACAGAGAAATTCTTTTTCACAAAATTAAGGCCCATATTGTTATCAGAAGCTTGATTCTGTGGTGTCATAAGCAGTGGTCCATTCTGTCTAATGCACATGCATTTTTGAAGACTTCCAGTTACACAACTCTCCTTATCACAATTCAGAGAGATGTTACCTTTTGAACAAACTGAGGATTAACTGCAATTTCTCTGTCCATTTCTCGTAGTTTTTCCTCTAACAGAATAGCTTTCTGCATCTAAAAAAAAAAAAAAATGATAAATTCTGGTGATGTGGTCCTGACAAAGGGAAATTAATTTCTGTTAAATTAAGACTTGTTGTAAAAAATGTGTAAAACATTGGACTTTTACATGTAACTCAAAGTGATTCAAAATTCTGGAACACTCCAAATGAAGGTGAGTAAAATAATTTTGTAATGGATGCTGTCTGCAGCAGTTCAATGTTAAAAAATTGTAGAAAGAGCATTTCAAAATTAATGTTATAAATCAAATGAGAGAAAATTATATTTACCTCTTTATCTAATTGTAGTAGCATGCCAGCACTTTTGTACTGCTCTGGGTTGTCATGGAAACTGACCATACCATCTTTTTGATTAATAGAGGCAAATATTTCACCATCTTCTATCTGTCATAAAAAGACAAAATATTCATTTCATACTGAAGGGAATAGACACATACAAGACAGTATATAAATCTTGAATCTTAAAGGGACTTGGACACTGTTTTAACTGAATTTTTTAAACTAGTTTTATTGCTTACTATTCCCTAGGGACTAAGGCGTCATCTAATGATCAGCAAAAATTTGAACATCATTTATTGATTAACAAATGAGATACAGAACTTAAAGTTCTTCAAATGTAAACAAGGCTCGTGCATTGTTTTTGTTTACATATAGAAATATCATTTATAACAAAAAGAAATTCAGCCAATCACTATAAACTGTTTAATTGTATTTAGAACTAACTTCTTTATTGAAATTATCTGCTATGAATGAACATATATTAGTATATTAATCTATGTAAACAAAACATGACACGGACCTTGTTTACATTACAAAGGTTTGGAGCTCTAAATCTGTCTTGTATCTTGACAACTAATGTTCAAATTTTTGATGATCATTAAAAAGACCTTAGTTAAACACTTATAAAAATGGAAAAATAAATTAGAATTTTTTTTAAGCTGAAACTGTGTCTATGCCCCTTTAAATAACTGAATCATGTTTGCTAAATACATTACTTCTTACCATGTGTAGAACATATTTTTCTGCTTCTTTAGGACTGGCTAATTGTACTCGATTAGCCATATCGGCCAAAGATAGTGTTAAAAATGTCTGAAAAAAAGACAGAGATTTCACCTTCCTTACATTTTCACTTTTTTTCAAATCTTTGTTTGATATGACATTTAATCATTGTGAGAATGCATTCCTTTGAAATACATCACAATTAACTATTATGAATTTGTACTGGAAACAGATATTTAAGTGAAAATAAATCTTCTTCAATAAAATTGTATTTCTTAATACATGTAAATACTCTATAAGCTTATATTTTTACCTTTGTTAATCTTTGAATATTTTTCTTGTAAAGTGAGGTAATACATTGTTTTACCAAGCCCATATTGTTATCCTATAAAAAAAAACACACAAAAAAGTCATTTCTGAAGTTTAAATAACATCATTGTAGAAATAAATTTAGCCATGCAAAGCTTTCAATAACCGAAATACTTGCCGTACCCTGGTGAAGGTTTCCTGATACTTGTTTACTGTGGCTCGTAACTCGGAGGGCGTGTTAGATCCGTAAGTCAAAGCCAAATCATGGTAAGCCTGGCATAATGGCTGAAATCAAGATTAAGGATTAAAAAGAGCCCTTGTATTCAAGTACATCTCTCTGATTAATTAATATAAAAAAAAAATCTATTGCAAACTCATTGTCTAAAGAGACTAAGTTTTGTATAAACTTGAATACTAAGAGATGATCTGTATTACTTACCTTTATATATCTTGTGACTACCTGTGATATATATTTTGGTAGATTGGGAACCTGCAATAACATTGAAATAATAAATATATTCTGATGGAAATACTAAAGCATCAACTAAACCCTCTTGTAGTACACCACTGAAATATCATAAAATAATCTTATCATGAAATTCTTATCAGATGAAAATTTTTTTACACATGTAGGTAAGAATCTATAATATTTATTTCCAATAACTTAACACTGAGAGACACAGCCTTCATCTAACCTTTCCATGTAGAATAAGAGCAACAAGGATGTACTTTTTGTAAGCTTCTAACATGATATGACTGACAGCCATACTGGGTGTTGTTATTGCCTAAAATTCAAACAAAATCATAAATACACAGAATTTATTAAACATTAGAATACGGAAACATTAAACAACAAAATCTAATTTTCAAAACAAGACAGCACAAAGATTTTTCAGAATTTCTTTAAAATAAGGAAAATTATAATTTATAGAGTGACATGGGATTAAATAAAGCATTTTTAAACTAATTTTTCAGGATACAGTTCACTATGATTAGACTTGTCATACTTACTATTTCATACATATACAGAGCTTTTTCATAGTTCTTCAGAGCTGTGTAGATCATTCCTCCATAATAATAATATAACAGAAAATCTTTGGCATCATAATGGCCTCCCTAGTGAAAATAATTAATAACATTCATTAATGTGAAAATAAAGTTTAAGAACAAGTCAGTGCTTGCTATTGGACCTTGAGTGTTCTTTGTCAGGGCATGTGTTTATTTATTCTGACTATCAGTGCAATTACTGTGTCTAAATATTGCTGTTTGACATACTGGTATGTTATATATATCACAAATATATCGGTATCTTTTACTCTTATGTCTTTACTGACATTTAGATATCTATATTTATGTGTGACTTTATATCTCACCTTCTTCATGACATCTGTGATATCTGATATCTGTATCTATATGTGACTTTATATCTCACCTCTTTACTGACATCTGTGATATCTGTATCTCAATATCTGTGATATCTATACCTATATGACTTTATATATCACCTCTTTGCTGACATTTATGATATCTATATATATGACTTTATATATCACCTCTTTGCTGACATCTGTGATATCTATATCTCAATATTATCTGTGATATCTATACCTATATGTGACTTTATATATCATCTTTCCACTGACATCTGTGATATCTATACCTATATGTTACTTTATATCTCACCTCTTTACTGACATCTATGATATCTATATCTGTGATTATATCTCACCTCTTTACTGATACCTGTGATATCTATATCTGTGTGCTATATATTACCTCTTTACTGACATCTGTGATATCTGTATCTAAGAACTGTAAGGCTGGCTTCATGTTCTTTGACAACAGGCATAACTAAAATGAATACAATTTTTAATGAGGAAAATGCTGATTTTATAGTAACTCATAAAAATGTACATGTACAGTATTAAGTTTTATGAGGCATAATTATAACAAGCTGCATCAATGAGGATAATTAGATTGGTTCATACCTGACAGAGATCAGCATGTATAGAGGTCAGCTGGGCAGGGTAGAGCTGAATCTTGTTGATGGCTTTTACCAGAATCAGAATTCCTCTCATTGGCTGATCAATCAAACAAGTTTACATTTCATTGGCTGATCATTGAAACAAATTTACATCTCATTGGCTGATCAATCAAACAAATTTACATATCCTTGGCAGATCAAATTTACATATTAAAAATATACATATATATATATCAAAATGTACATCAAGAATCTTTTCATTTTCACCAGCATCTGTTATGCTATATTTGTCCTTCAGAATAAAATATTTTGAACTCTGTTTGCATTTAAACATATATGTATCAAACAAAACAGTAACATACCTGTTTCTTTTCCACCAGATTTTGGGTAAACTTGTGACATAAATCTGCATCTGAGAATGAATATACCAGGTATTGACTTGATTTGTATTCACAACAATATTCATATTTCAAACAATAAAGCTTCACTAGCAGTAATTTTAGCATGTATCTTACAACTGTCTGTGGCATATCTAACATGTTCCCCATGGCAGTCATTGATAAATTCTTGTGTCTGAACGAACAATGTCTCAAAGTCTGGTATATTAGGCAGGTTGTACTTCACACATCTGAAAAAAATAAAATTACAAGACACACTTAATCTTAACATCTTGCCTTCTATGTTCTTGACAATGCTTTCATATGGATTATTAGAGAAATGTCATAAAAATTTGATGATCTACAGTCATTACTGAAACTGATGCATAGTTAGTTATCAGTTTAGGTAAAATAATTCAGAGACAAAATTAATTATCTAGGTAATTATTCCAGATAAGTGCTAAGGCATCAAATGAATGAACTCTACCTAAATAAATGAATTTTTCAAAAAAACATTTCACTGACTAGAATATTTTCTATACTTTGAAATCTGTAATCATCATTCATGATGAGGAGAACAATGTGTTACAAAAATAAATTATTACGACTTGAATTATGTTTGTAAAACTGTCATGACATCATATTTTGCATGTATTTAAGTAATAAAAGTGAATGAACAAAGAAATAGACGTTACAGGATGCCGAGTATTCCTAGGGAGTGTTGCTGGATATCGAGAGTCGCCAGTACATTGTCCAAATGATTAGCATTTTTTGCCAAGGCCTCTGCACTTTTTCCAATAAATTCACAGAGCTGTGAAAAATTCCCTGAAACCAAGAAATGTTACATTGGTTGACAAATTGTCATCAGGTATGGAAAAAAATCTGAAACATGCACCAGTAATACCGGTACATGTATCAGTATATATCAGTGTCAATTTCAGTGATATGTTCTTTCACTTCAATTATCATGATTATAATGTTGTAAATCTATAAAAAAAAAAATAAATAAATAAATAAATATTCATGACATCAGAGTCCATGAAATAGCAGCTGCCTGTATCACCCTATTTGTATTTAATTAAACTGAAATATTGAGATCCCTCAAATAAATCTACTAAAAGGACACTGAAAATAAGCCATAGTAACTTTCATGGGCTATCCTTAGGTTTAAGCAATTTATACATGTTATATTTATTTTTAATTTGTAACTTCAACATGTTCAACATAATATTTCTTTTGAAATTTATGTTTAACAATTCAATTCTTAAAATATGTTCACCCTTTTTTAAATATGTATGTCAATCATACCATACTCATGTACATGCCTATTCCTGAATAAAGATTATTATTCAGGGATAGACATTAACTTTTATATTCACTTGTCATTCTGGCAAGTGAACTACAATTTTGACTTGTTCAAAGGTAAAACTTGCAATTGATTGCCCAAGGTTTTTAAAGAAGAAAATACCAGTAACTGTATTTTAATTAAGTGTTTATAATAAACATGATAAAGAGTGACAAATTAATTTCTAGTTTGAAGTCAACTGCCAAAAAAATGTTGATATGATGGTGATGCTACATTTGTAAATATTTGTAAACAACTCTCCTGTCATTTACTATCCTGAAAACCAGATCGCAATGCAGAAATATTATCTTCTTCTTTTTTTTTTTTTTTTCGAAAATTTAATTGTCCCCCTCCCAGTTGAGGTAATGCTTAAGGAAAACAGCTGCCATGTTTTGAATCAAGATACATCTTGCACCAAGAGTAAATGGTGTTCTTTATATCTCATGAGTTAAAAAATAAACTATTCTATTTAATATATATGATATATATATTTCAAAAAAAGAATGTTACTAAGTTTTCAGACAGAGAGATATTTTTGTAAACTGTGAAAGAAAACAGAATAATGAAGTAAAGGAACCCTATTTCTGAATACAGGTATGATCCAGAAACGCTTCCATGGGACCCTGATTGCAGAATGCAATGTCCTGTTAAGTGTTGTAGCAGAAATTAAGAGTTCAATATTATAATATTATGTTGTTTATAAACTAATTTAAGATTTTCAAAAAATTGTTTCTATCAGAATTATACATTTGCCTGATCAGACAAGTACATTGAAGGTTTCACTTGCCCGAACTGAGAATTCACTTGTCACGGGCAATCGGACAACCATTAGTGTCGATCCCTGTCATTACGTCTTCAGATCTTATCAGATTGACAGAAAAACGCACATTAACTATGTCAACCCCTTTAAAAACTAATCTGACCAAAACTTCTGTTGTCCATGGAAATACATGTACTGACTACCATGACTACTGTGGATGCTGCACAGCTAAAAAATGGGAATGTTTATTTTGTTGGCAGGTTTCAATATTGTAGATCAAAATTTGGGGCCGGAGACTGTGCTGACGTCACGTGCAAAGAAGCAGAATGGTGAGGAGGCCAACTTATTCAAGAGATGCTTCATTTGTCAGTGATAGGGCCATTTAAATGGAGATAGCACACTTTTAATTATGCTTAAGTTGAAGAAGAATCATCCCTTTTACCGAGTTCTTGCATCTCGGAAGGTAGATAGATCTGTGGAATAAAGTTGTCAAAGGTAGGCAGAGTTGCGACACCACTGAATTCCCACTTTTCAATATAATCTCCGCTCTAACTCTCCCCTGCACATATCACAATATAAAAAGCAGGGGCAAGAGGAATCTCGGATTAACTGCACTTTTGTGCCTCATATTATACATGAAGACAAAATTGTATATCTAAGAAAAAAGATAATCGTCCAATTCAAACTAATTTAAATAGCTGAATAAAGTTGAGATATCTAGCAAATTCAAGATATACATCTAGATATGAAAATCCGCAGGATCTGTCCACAGGGGCATCTTATCCACTCTGTTCTCTATTTCACATATAAAAATACACCGTAAGAGGATCTGTCTAAGGTTTTCAAAGTACCTGTATGCCACTGTGATGCTGACTGCACATAAATATCTCGTAAAGGTGAAGTATTATTCAAAACAAAATATATGCCGATGTTTGGACACTGAATAATTCGTAAATTTACCTTGTGATGACAAATTTTGTACGGTATTTACGTACTGTTCCAGGGCTGCGGCCATTTTCTCGATTTGTGAAGACCGCTTGTATCAATAAACATTTCAAAACATACGAATATCTTTTTTCCCTCATACATCATGTGTTTGATTATTAAAATAGTTTGATTAATATGTTAAATTGACTTTATTAAGATTTTAATCGCTTTTAATATTTCCCCTATTATTTTTTTTTATAAACGATGTAAGGAACAGAATTGAAACTCACTAATAAACGCCTTTATGAAGGACCTGATTACCCTGATTGATGTAGGCCTTAATATACTAGGCTATGTAACAAAGATTAAATGATCCTTTGAGGGGCCCTATATAGTTATCAATTTTAAAAAAAATGGATTTTTATTTCTTTGACGAAATAATGCATTTATTACAAAGAAAACAAGTAAAATTTATGCAAAGCATAAAATCGGCCGCAAACAAAATTTAGCATTTCAAAAAGTACATTCACAATTTAAAAAAAACATCCATGCAAGGAAAACACAAGTATCAAAATGATCTTGAAGATGTGGATCTTTGTCACTTGATAATGCCCATGGTTTCTGCAGAGTAGAATATGCTGCAAGGCGCGGTGCGAAATGTAGAGAAATTAAAATACGGTCACAGGCACTTGTTTCGGAGATAAATTTAATAATGACACGAGCATGCGAGGGGGATGGCACCATGGCACTATAACTAGCAAAATTTGTTTTTCAAAGTCAAGTTTAAAAGAACAAAAGAAAAAAGCTATTAGGCTTAATATTATCGAGGCGATGCATCCGTTATTCATAAAATCGTTTTTTTTCTTCTTTTTCAAACATGAAGATTACGAATAGTAAAAAAAAGTCCATTGAATATGAAGCATATAGCCTATATGGAGATAACGAACGGTTAATTCAAGATCAAATACAAAACAGGAGCAGTGCAAACATGGACATCGATCCAAAACCTCAGAGACGGGATCAGGTGCCGTGGAGGAGAGAGCATCCCCTGCCGACCGGTCCCACCCGCCGTGTGCTCCTTGTCATGATCGAGAAATAACGGGAAAATCCGCCGTCAATCCAGTGTATAAATAATGGACTAACATTAAGTATGAAAAAACGTCAGTCAGCATTTTACTCAATGATCGATTGTATTTGCTGAAAAGGTAATTATAGCGGGCATACAACTTACAAAACGATGACTTTAAACGAAACCGCCAATATTCTTGTTTCATCAACCTGTTTGTCAATAATTTACCTCGTTTTAGAAATTGTTCATACGCAGAGCATGCCCTCGCGTGTCGAATCAATTAAGAGATATAAACTCCGTATGCAGATGATGAAGGTATATTGCTGCATAAGTAAGGGAAGTAGACGATAGCAAAGTTAAAGTCATCACGTTTATCATACAGTTTGGTTGTTAGATTACCATTAACGTCTTTTTCAAGTAAAATATCCAAACATGAAACAGATGTGTCAGACTCTGTGGTATCTTTTATCTCAAGCTCACCAGGATATATTATCGAGATAAGAATGGAAATTACCATTGGTAATTGACGATACGTCTTCGATATATCTAAATGTCGAGTTGAAGACCACAGCGTTTTTGTGTTTTTTTTTCAAGCTTAAGATTTTGCACAAATTCTGCTTCATATGTATATAAAAACAGGTCTACTAATAACGGAGCGCAATTTGTACCCATGGGAAATCTAATAGATTGTTGGAATTCCTGGTCTCCGAAAACAACATAGATATTGTCAATCAAAAACTCAAGCATCTTTTTGATGTCAACTTCAGAGTGCTTAAATTGTGTGTTCATTCAGAATGTTTTTAACAAATAATTTTGCAAACGACGTATGACAAGGTAAGTAAATTTTCGAGTTCCATTTTTATTGAAAAAGTAGCTGTCAATGATGTCAAAAGCCTGGATTTTAATTTATCGCGGGGAATAGTTGTGTATAAAGTTGAAAAGTTGTAAGTTTTTATGCTGTTCATTTTGGTAAAATCTTGTGATTTCAAATTGTCCAAATGTTCCTTGGAATTTTATTAAGTATCCACCTCTGATTTACACCGCTTCTTGAATATATTGTTGAACAGTAGTCTTGAAATTTCTCCTTCACTACTGTTCATATCTTAGTGAGGAGTAAAGAAAGAGGCTTGGTTGAACATTTACTGGAACCCGCTTTGTATCTTTGTTTGTAAGGATTCTTATGAAGTTTCGGAATCCAATATATATATATGGTAGTTCAAATTCATTTTGGTTCTTTGGAATATTAGAAATATTCAAACCTGACATATGATTTTTTTCAAAAAATCTTCCTTAGAAAGGGAACTATTAGTATAAGTTGGATTACCACTTGTTTAATTAACTCCAAGTTCTTCTAAAATACAATTTATATAATGAGCCTTACAAACGAAGACAATGTTGTTACCTGCTTTGTCAGTAGAGACCAGTACGTGCTGATCATGTAATCAATCTAATTCTTTTTTCATTTCTGGATTATTGAATACAGAAGGATAGATGGTTTTCGTATTGCCCTTCAATCTTTTAATTCAATCTTTTTACACAATAGGAGAATACCAAACACGGATCTCTACCTATATCAGGGGAGAATGTAAGTGCCACGGAGGAGCAAACATCCCTAGATGACCAGTCACATCCTCCGAGTGCTGGCTCCTTGTCTGAGTGATGCTCTTTCATTTACAGAAAAAGCAATTGTCACTGAATGATTTTAAAAAAATATCAGGACTTCAATTCATCGAGGTGAAAGTTTGTATAAAATGTTCGAAAATAGTACATTTTGCTGTTATTGATGTTGTTAAATTCCATGATAAATTTTGTGACTTTAAACTTTCTTAAAGTTCCTTGGAGTTTTTAAGTATATCCATACTTACAATGTATGAACACTACCTCTCAAATATATTCTTGTACGTAATTCACGAAGTTACACTTCACTGCTGATGATATTCTAGTGAGGAGTAAAAAAAGAGACTTAGCATAAAAGTTATACTCGAACCTTGTGAAAATGCATTTGTACACACGAGTTTCACTAATTAACAATTTATTAGTCATGTACTCTTTGACTAATGGCAGATAAAAGTACCGATCGTGAAAAGCTTCTTTTCGCCCCTTGTTAATTGATTAATTAAAAAGATTCCCGAATTGATGACGACCCATCAGCAATCTCGCAGTGAATCCAGCGAAGACGTACAGACTTATCGATGAAATCTTGAAAAGTTTAAAGATTATTTAAAAGATCTTCCATTTGCAGGGTCCGAGAAACAGATTGATTATTAATCATAATGCTTTACACTACTTAATCTGTGCTTAACTGAAGATGACTTAGATTGATTTTTATTTTTATAAATTGTTTCAAAATGACTTATGTTTTAACTCAACTGGCATGTTCTTCTAGACCTTAGAAATGTCAGAGGATGGACGGGGAGAACCTCGACCGACTTCTGAACTTTAATTAAAGCACCGTCCTTGGTTGATATTATCTAATAAGTCTGTTTATCTCTGGTCGATCCCATTGATTGCATTGTCATTAAACCGATCTTTGTTGGGCATTCGATGAACGTCATTATTCGAGTTATTCGATCATCATTTTTTTTTTTACATTTCCAATTGCAATTTTATTTACTATAAATTTATAACTGTCTTCGGGGATGAAAAATATTTGGCCTTCGAACTTGTGAGAGAACTGTACGACCTACTGTACGGATATATTATCCATAATGAAAAATATGGACCAATGAACACATATCAACCCTGTCCGTAATGACTTATCTGTTCTAGCCCTGTCCATACCGGAAGCCTGAGAACCTATTAAAAATTCAAGTCCTTCAATAATTTGAAATTAGCCAATAGTATGTCAAACAATCCCTAAAGTAACAAAATATTTCCATCGCTAAGCAATTTGTGAAACCATTTAAACAGTTTGTTGCTTATATTAGATTCCCCTAATCTTTGTCGCTACAGTCGTAATTCATTTTAAAGTCGAAATTAAAGTATCAACCAATAACCTGTACACAAGTTTAATTCCTATAAAACAAATAAACATTGAAATACTCTCTCTCTATATATATATTCTACCAATACACAGACAGACTGATTTCTCCGACTCTGGCCAACCATGAAGTTCTTCTTTGTTTTGACTTGGATGGTCTTCTTGGTTTTTGCCTCAGCTAGCTTTATTAGACAAGGTAATTTTACTCTAAAAAACTTGGAGAGAGAGAGAGAGTTTAAGTACATTACTTGTTTTGTATTATTAGTTTAATTAATTATAATCTGAAATCAAATAACCCTAGCGGACTCTCCTCTATATTGAAAAGTTTCCTTCAGTAAAAAATATTTATTAAAATTGTTTTGTTTTTTTTATTTATTTTATGATGTTAATTTAAAACAGCAAAATAATAAGTTTGTTGTCTAAACTCTTTAATTAGTATGTATTGCTAAAGATACAGTAGTAAGTTAAGTACACAAATATATCATTTCCATGTCAGAAATACATACACGTCATACAATATATGAATAAAAAGTTCCAGTCATAATGACTATCGAAAGATGATTTTTCTATTTTCAAGGGAAAATTTTCTTTACCAAGCCGAAAATTCTCTCGCATTTTGGAAAGACAATCGACGATGACCAACAGCAAGGTCAGAAAGTGGCTCCGAGGGGACCCCCGTCATGGTCCAACAGTCATTCCTCCATTCACAAACCTCACCCGGTCCACAGCAACGCATGGCAACAAGCCACAAGGTCCTCAAATCATATGCATGCCCATACAGTAACTTTTGCATCTACCTCCTATAATCAAACAACGAAGCGCAAAACAACGACGCTGAAATCTCACGTGACCACCTCGTTTTCGGAGTGGAAAAGGAACTGGGAAATAGAGCATGCTTCTGTCTGTGGAAAACAACATTTTGTTCCGTACGGCTCCCACTTCAGGATCATGGGAGGTATGAGCGCTCGCAAAGGCAGCTGGCCCTGGATGGTAAATTTAGTTTATTTTTATTTTATGCAGTCAAATGTGGATATCAATTAAATATGAATTTATTTACAGAAATTAATAAATTGCATAAAATATTAAAACTCTCAAATTTATCATTTTTTTAATATCTGCTTGATCTGTTTTATAAAATCGCATTGGGTGCTAATGGCCATATTTTTTTTAATTGAACTAAAATACTAGGTTTCTCTATATTTTGTTCCATTTCGCCAATCCGTGTGTGGTGGAGTCCTTATCGACAAGGTGTGGTTTCTCACAGCTGCTCACTGTTTTGATCCGTGAGTCGTTTCTACATCTGTAACATCTTTGCACTTCATATGACACGAATTGAAATCAGTTTAACACAAAAAATCGCATATTATCTTGGACACAAAGATCACAAATAATATTTTATGTCTGTAATAAATGACATGATGATGTAATATTAATTGTTCTTCTTATCACTGCAACCACCGTGTTAACGACTATGATGACGCAACACAAACAAATGGTACAAAGTTTAATTGTACCTATTTTAAAATTTTGCATTGAAATAACAGTGAAATCGTTAAAAATATTAAACTTGTTTTTGCAGCATCGTATGGGTTTTTTTTTTGTATACTAACGATAATTATGCCACGCATTCATATCATTCAGTATTTGATTCAAAATCATCTGAATTCAGATTTATGCATAAATTATAGCAATAGCAAATTCAAAATCAGCTGAGGTTACACATACCAAGCCCCAATAAAACGTATCTTAATTCTTTTTTTCTTCCTACAGACCACTGAATACTGCAAATGAGTTTATGATAATTCGATTGGGACTGCATAATGTAACTTCGTCACTGATCATGAGTGGAAACGCCGTTGAACAGCAAAGAAAAATTCAACAAGTATTTAAGTATCCTGGATACGGCACCAATTTAAGTGTTCCGTTTGATAATGATATAGCATTAGTCAAATTAAATTATCCAGTAGAAACCACGAACTACGTACGTCCAATCTGTTTGCAAAATGATATTGAAACAAATGAAAGTCGATGCGTTGTGACAGGATGGGGTATAAAGAGAAGTGAGCAAAAATAAAACATGTTTGACAGATACTTAAGAAATACAGATAAATTAACGGAAGGCAAAATTTAAAATATAACCGAGGTAGTTTAAAGCTAATTTACTATAGTTTTCATTTCTAGCATAAATCCAATATTGAGGAGAAGCATAGAATATTTGTTACCAAAGTTACATAACATGATAATTTGATGCCAAATTCATGCCATACTGAATAAGATTATTTGAAGTACTTTTGTGCTATTCACACAGTCATGAACATTATTCTCTAATATTCATTGCTCAGCCCCGAACGCTTCCAATCCTGATGAACCAGATCCAATGGCTTGGCCTGATAATCTACAACAAGCCTCAGTACCTACTATCGAGTATGATGAGTGTAAAGCAAAAGAAGGATATAGGGAGAAACTTACACCAAATATGCTCTGTGCAGGATATCGGGAAGGACACGTGGATACATGCAATGTGAGTAACCATATGCCTCTTATTCATATTTGTAAATATTTCAAATCATTATGAGTAGATCTACTCATGGTATACATGAGTCTTGCATATGCCGAGGTATTGATATTGATTAAGTTAAGAGTATGAAATAATAGTATTTTTTCAAATTCCTTTCAAAGGGAGATAGTGGAGGTCCTCTTCAGTGCATGAAAGATGATGTTTGGCACCTCACAGGTATCCATTAAATATCCATTAATTTTGAATAACACGACAAAAAGTTGTCATACGGGGATGAAGTTTCTATTTGTACTCAGGAAAAAAAACCCGGAATGAATGCCATATACATGTATATTGAGAGTTTATAGAGTCTATATAAAAATGAAATATGGAGATATCAAACAGTACTCAAGCTCACAGGTCCATTTAAGCAATGCATATTAAGAGCAGAGCAAACACGGATCCCTATAACATCGGAGCTGGGATCTGGTGCCATGGAGGAGGGAACGTCCCCTGCAAATCGGTCACATCCACCTTGCGCTCCTTATCAATATAAAGTTGATTTTGTATTTCTTAGGCATAACCAGTTGGGGAGGAAAGACGTACAGAGAATGTGCAGAGGCGGATCAGCCAGGCGTGTATACCAAAGTCCTTAATTACAGAGAATGGATATTAACAACAATATACAACTATACTCGTGCTTCTGGATTATAAAAAAAGAAGACATAAAGACATGACACAAAGAAAATGAAAGGAAGGATAAGTTACATTTTATGATCTGGAAAATCAACTTAAGTTACTGAAATGTACGTTTGCTCTTAAGACACCTCTATTTGAAAATGTTAAGGAATCTCTGTAAAAAATCGATTGAAAAGAACAGCCTGCATGTTTATCTTCTGTTTTGCAGAAAATGTTGTGCATTTAGAGTCATTCTTTGTGTAAAAAATGGTTCTTTTTTATGCTTTTTTTCATTCTGTAAAGTGTTTGTTTAGCATGCTTGTCTTCCTTTGTTCATTTATTTTAATTTGTTATACTGTGAAGGAGGGGAGTTCAAGTTTATTGCTACAATATTTATATTATAGATCAGGCATTCGCGCTACTGGAGACCAATAATAAATTTTAGTGGACGAAGTTTTTTATTCCTTGAAATTTTGAAACATGGTGCATGTTTGACATTTAGGATAGATAGAAGATATACATAATAATGTAGTATCTTTATGGCACTTGATACCACCATGTTTTGGAGATCCGTTTTTTCTCTGCTCCTATTTTGTAATGTTTAATGGACTTTTGAGCTTGAATACTGTTCGTTATCTCCATATATTTCTTGCTCATACATTACATGCATTTTCATTTCTAAATCTTTTACAAACTAATGTTTTGTTTTCAATTAAATATTTTATCATACCGAAAAAGTTTGTGTTAAGTAACAATTTTCATTTTCATTTATATTTAAACTCAATAAATCCCAACAGACTTGAAATAAGAGACACCACAGAGTCCAACAGAGGTTTTTATACTTTGATGTTTTACGGAACATAACATAAATAAACAACTAAACTGAATAATAAACAGGAGAACATTGGCTGAACGGTCGTCAACTTTCCCTATTTTCATGGAAACGTTTTAGATCATAACACTCAATTGGATTTTATGTCACTCAGCTTTTTGCTATCAAGATTACTCTGATTGCTCTGCTCCTAATTTGTATTGTTTTAAGAACTTTTAGCTAGAACACTGTTCGTTATCTCCATGTCTTTTATGTATGAATACGAACATTTTTTAAACCGAGACTACTACATGTACGAGGTTACTATGAAATGATAATATATTTTAAGATTTTTCATAAAAAAATTCTAGTATGAGAAGATAACGAAGAGTATTAGAGCTCGATCAAAAATTCCATTAAACAACACAAATCAGGAGCATAGCAAATTCGGATCTTCGAAACTTCAGAGGTGGGATCAGGTGCCATGGAGGAGTGAGCATCGCCTGTTGTTCATTTGAAGTCAACATTTTTTTTTTAATTCTTTGTTTGTCATATTGATCTTGTTTGTTAACACAACCAAGGTTTGAAAACTTCCAATCTAAGAAGAGATTTGAACTAAAATTCAAAAGAAGTTAGTTTTTTTCAACTTCGTAAAGGATTAAAACTTTTCAATTTTGTATTATTTTGTATCTTTGTATAAATGATTTACGAATGTAAAATAAGAATTTAGTTTTACAAAGCATAGAAAAAAATAAAAGTTAAAGACAGAGGAATTTCTGAGAAGTCATTCTCCATTTCTGGCAAATTATTTATGGCATTATGGTTATATTGTATAAAAGAACCAATATGGTAACATCATATTAAACAAAAAGAAAACTTTTTTTCAATCTTTTGAAATATAAGAAGCCGTCATATGATCGGCAGCAGTGATTTATTATTCTTCTGATACCAACTTCTCAAACAAACTATTGGACGTTTCCATGGGTCGTAAATTATATAGATGATAATGGCCAAATAGCAACTAAACTGTATGACAAACAATCTTTTTAACTGTCAAATTTCCTTGTATATGCAGTAATATTCTAGTATCACCTGTTATGGTTTCTATGCCTCTCAACTTTTCCGCTACTCAAGTCAGCATTTCGTAAATTCGATGGTCGTAACACTGTCCTTGTTAGCAAAAACAACTTTTTGTTGTGCCGTATTTGGCTGACTTCATACACATTATTAATTTTGGCCTTTGTCTTTGTAATAAGTTTGACTATTAAATGTATCCTTGATCGTTACATAGGACTCATATCGAGTGTGACCTGCTTACAAATAATTCTTACTGCTTCTAAGTATCTGATCCCACGTCTGGAGATTTCAGGGGTCTGCATTAATTTTGTATTGTTTGCTGATTGTTTAAGATCGATCGATCTTCGTTTTTTTTTTCAACTTTCTCATCTCAATGTCAGAAAAAAAAACACTGAGAGAAAAACCTAATGAATTTAACTACTGTGCCTCGTGAAGCGTTTGTCGAGATAAGTAAACTCTCAGTTTACTGGTTAAGATAGTGAGTTGCTGAGCAGGGGTCGTATAGATTCTTATATACCTAGTGAGAGTTATTTCTAAAACTAGATTTACTAATATTATCTAGTAAATATACCAAATACATGTACTTCGTAAAACTACTTTAAAAGTAGTGATTGTATGGAGAGTAAATTTACTAGTTTTCTAAGTGACTTTAACTAGTTATTTTTACAGTAGATAATTACCTTGACATGACGTTGCTTCTAATGAAAGATATGGAGATAACGAACAGTAATTAAGCTCGAAAGCCCATAAAACAATACAAAACAGGAGCAGAGCAAACACGGACCTCAGAAACATCAGAGGTGGGATCAGGTGCCATGGAGAAGTGAGAATCCCCCTGCCGACCGCTCACACCCGCCATGTGCTCCTTTTCATGATCGGGAAATAACGGAAAATCTGTCGTCGAGTCAGTGTATAAATAATAGATTAACAATTAAAATGATAAACGAGAGTCAGCTTTTGACTCAATGATAAATTGTATTTGCTGATAAGGTCATTGTTTCGACGATAGTACTAAATATGAAATGATAACTTTTAATGAGACTGTAGATATTCTTGTTTCATCAACTTGTTTGTCAATAATTTACCTTGTTTTAGAAATTGAACAACGTAGAGCATGCTCTTGCGTATCGAATAAACTGAAATATATAACTTCCGTACGCAGGTAATGAAGGTATAATACTGCATAAGTAAGGGAAATTGGCGATAGAAAAGTTGAAGTCATCACGTTTTTCATATATAGAGCTTGGTTGTTAGATTATCATTAACGTCTTTTTCAAGTAAAATATCCAGATATGAAACAGATATGTCAGACTTGTTGTTATCTTTTACATGTATCTCGAGCTCACTGGGATATAGTGTATCAACATAAGAATGGAAATTACCATTGTTAATTAACAACATGTCGTCGACATATCTACGTTTTGAAGGCCACAGCAAGTGTTTTCTTCTTTTCGCGTAGAAGAGTTTGGACAAATTCTGCTTCATATGAATACAAAAATAGGTGTACTAATAGCGTGGCGCAATTTGTCATCATGGGAATTCCAATAGATTGTTGGAAGACCTGGTCTCCAAAAACCACATAGACATATACATGTATTGTCAATCGGAAACTCGAGCATCTTTTTGATGTCAACTTCAGAGTACTTGTATGTACAATCAGAATATTGTTTAACAAAATAATTTTGCAAATGACAAGGTAAGTAAATTTTCGAGTTCCATTTTTATTGCTGTCTATTATATCAGAAAGTCTGGACTTTAATTTATCGTGGGAAATGGTTGTGTATAAAGTTTTTTTAAAAAATAGAATTTAATTTTAATTGATACGATCACTAAGAGATATTGTCTTCTTGAGTCCATAAAAAATGTCTTTTTAAGACCATAAATGTAAGATTCCTGTGATCAAAGAACGTACTTTATATTATAAACATTAATCTAATGTATTGCATTCAATTGATCGGAATCTAAAAACCTTACAGATTCATTAAATGTCAAAATCAAACTTTATATGTTTTGTTGGCAAATTTTGATTTTCTTTAAAACATTTGAAAAAATTTTTGTTATATACGCGATTTACTTAGTAAGACATTTCCTAACAGGACGAACGTACTATTTGTACCTTATGTACCGAGAATTGACTCTTAATTTGGTCATAAAGACTTCAGATAAGAAATAATTCTGTTCTGATGACACGATTTGTAGATAACGATCAATTGCAATAATCAGACAAATTACTGGACTAATCCTTCATTATGCTATTTTTGGCGATTTTGGCCTTCGTAGTCTTCGGTATGTATCCTTGCTTTTCCTTCAATATATCATCAAATATTTAGGTTTTTCTATGACAAGAAATCCATCTATGAATAAATCTTTGCATGTTTGCAATTTCGAAGTATAAAAACCCTTTGAAAGAACTGGAAATTTTATGTCATCATCTACAGAAAAATAAAACGGGATAACGACTAAAAGTGAATAGTATTCATTCCTGTAAATTTCAGACCCAGCTCTGGGATCACTCCCTAACAACACAGGATGTGGAGTGCCCCACTACAAACCGATTTCACCCGTCAAAAGGGTTGTGGGAGGGGAACAGGTGGCCCCAAACAGCTGGCCATGGACGGTAAAATTAAATTTTTCAGATGCTTTACTATTATTTCTTTCTTTATAGACAATGATGTTGAAATTAAAGCCCATTCATACAATTTTTCTTTACTTTAAACCCTGTAAAAGTAATGGTCTTGATTCCACTCCATTAGGTGAGACATGTTATTAATTTGTGACAATTAATCGATGAAGTGCAGTTAAATAGTTTAAAGAAATTAATTAATCTAGTTGGCACGAGAAACCCATTTTAAGGAAAGATTTCTAAACCATTTGCGTTTCTCTGAAGCATTGACTCTATTCAATCCATATATATATTAAGTACCGATATGTTTGTAGGCCTATTTCGAATTATTGAACTATTTGAATGATGTTATATTAGTTTAATGCTATTATCAGGCGTTACTGAAGTTTGACGGTCATTTGACGTGTGGTGGTACAGTGGTCAGGAATAACAACAACACATTGGTCATAATCACGTCAGCAGCCTGTGTGGACGGGTATCTTTAATAACTGTATTTACTATTTATAGAATATTTTGTAAATAATAACAAATAAATAAGTACTTTTTTCACAACGTATTAAGCATCTGCTGAGAAGCCACTTTAAGAACACGACATAATTTTTTTTGTGGGGGGGGGGGTCATTTAATACTAAATGTTTGTGGTTTTTTTGGTAATTGTTTTTCCCAATAATGTAAGAAGAGTAAAATAAAGTAGAAAAGATTTGCAAATGTAGACACTAAATACTTATTTAATGATATTATAGTTTTTATGATCAGTGATCACTTATTTTTTTCTTTCTACTTCATTATGAAACATCTTATTTTAGAACACTGTCAGATGAAACAAGATGGCAGGTTCGTCTTGGAGTATTCAGTAGAGCCTCAGCTACCTTTGAGCCATACTATCAAGAGTTCCGAGTGAAGAAAATCGTACAGCACCCCGGTTACCAACCAAGCACGTTCTCCAATGATATCGCACTCATGTTCGTGGACGGTGTCATCCAAGAGACGGAGGGCGTCAGTCCGGCCTGTGTAACGAGGGAGATGTATACCCCCGGGGAAAACTGTGTTACACTTGGCTGGGGGGTCACCACTCAAGGTTATATACTTTCTGAATCGGAAAATTATGTGATTCTAGATACTAGCTGTTTGAGATAAGAGAACGCATATTGATACAAAAAGAAAAAAAATATGCATCCTATTCCATTCTGAATATTCCTTTTTCTCGGCTTCGAAAGAATCATCTGTGCATTTTTTTCTGTACAAAAAGTAATCTAAAGTATTACGTTTATAAAATATAACACCTGAGATTTTTTGACAAGTTTTTTTCAACTTAAACAAATTCAACAAGTTTGTTTGTATTTGTTCAAATTCTTTACAATAGGACATCGATGTTTTCATTTTGATGTACTCCTTTATTAATTATCTAATTGATTTATTCAGGTGGAGACACGACAGATAGACTACAACAGGTCTTTAAACCGATCCTTAGCGCGGACGTCTGTCTGCAGCAGCTGAGTGACCTGTTTAACAGAGTCACAATGCTCTGTGCCGGGAGGGACGAGGGAGGGGCAGGTGCTTGCACTGTAAGGAATTTGTTTCCTTTTATCTCTGCTTGTTTTCTCAATTTGCTTATCCAACTTCACTTTTCTGATCTCAAGAAAAAAAGAAGAAAAACCCAAATGTAGATACATATGTAGAAAAACTGCTTTAAATCGGACCCACATTCATATGATTTAACACCAGCTGACAGTTAAGATTTGCATGTATATCTACATGCCGTTGTAAATAGTAGAGAACATAAATATGAAATTAATTAAATGTATTTACTTTTGATTTGATAATGATAATAATACCCATTTTTTTTTAAACCAACACTGTAAAAAAAATAACTAGTTAATGTCACGAAGAAAACTAGTAGATTCACTGTCCATACAATCACTACCTTAATAGTAGTTTTACCTGATATTGGTATATTTACTAGATAAGATTAGTAAATTTAGAATTGATGAGTAACTTTCACTAGGTATCTAAGTATCTATACGACCCCCGCTCACTATCTTAACAAGTAAACTGAAAGTTTACTAATCACGACCAACGCTTTACAAAACACACTAGTTAAATTCACTAGGTTTTTCTTTCAGTGAACATTAAATGTTTACCAATGTCATACTAAACTGTTTTATAAAAATAACATACCGTATAAGCAGAAATTTTGAGCGAGGGAATCATTTTGGTATTTTAAGGTATTTGAGATCCTTAAAATTTAATTTCTATTCCTACCGCATTGGAAGTTACAATTATATTCTGAATTTAGACCGGGATCTTAAGTTCTCGATCCAAAAGGCAGGCCAGTTACGCCAGTAGGTCTAATTAATAGACGGTTACGTAAAATTGATGGATTTGACAACCTAAATTATAATCAAACAAAAAGTTTCATTTGACTGTAAAATATGGTTAAAGACAATTTCTTGAAGATAAAATGTATTTTCAATACAACTTAATTAGTAAGTTCACTAATTTGTGACCTTAACCTTGGACTAAGCGTTTTTGTTGGCGCCCAATGTTTATTAGTGTAAAAAGCATTTCGTTTAGTTATTTATGAGTATTTTCATTTTAAAGTAGAAACCGTCATGGGGTGGACAAGAGCTTCATAGTCATAGCAAACAAATCGCATTGTTCATTACACCATACACGTAGTGTTTCTATAGAAAGATTTGATATGATTTCATAGGTCTAAGGGAAATAATTATAAGAGGGTTCAATAAATCTGACTCATAAATTGTCATTAGGAATGAAAAACTAAACAGCCTCCGTCTGTTCCTATCGTTCAGTGTGTTAATGGACTGGTAATAAAATTATACAATACGGAACACTTAACTGCCCTGCAAATATTCAATGTCAATCGATTCCTAGTAATTAAACTGCTGAAAGAATCCCAATTTATTGTTTCTCAGTAAAAATGAAGTAGCTGGAGGTACAAATAAAGATCTTAAAGAATAATTGTGAATTACATATTTTGGTCATGATTCTTAATTTATTTTACGGTATTAACGAATCAATTAATACTCAAAGATGTTCTGTTTGAATTTGTCTAACATGTATAAAAATCTATCCTATATTCCTCCAATCATCGCAGAATGAATGATTTTTTTTATTATCGTCTTGAGAATACTACTTGTTTTCAAATATTTCAGAAAAAAATATAGAAACAAGAAAAGGAAATATTTTGGTCACTCGGACAGTTATAATTATCGTTACTATCAGTAAGAAATTAATTATAAATTAAAAATTAATTGGAAGATTTTTTTTTATCAATAGAGAGACACTGGCGGTCCCCTCCTTTGTAAAAGAAATGATGTCTGGTACCTGACTGGTAAGGCCAAAATTATATGTTAATAATAGTGAAATATGTGAAGTTATTCATAATTTCTTTATGGAGTTTTAAGAGTTTTAACATTTTTTAAAATTAATTTCTGCTTTCAGGTATTGTCAGTTGGGGATTTGGCTGCGGTACTGCAGGATTGCCACCCGTGTACACTCACGTGTTTGAATATGTCACTTCCGGCTGGCTCAGAACGGAAGGGGACATTTAATGTACAATAACAGCAAAATTTTGTAACTGATTTTTTGTCTTTTATTCCGTCTTTATCATCAGTACATCATAGTCTCGTAAAATATAAAATATATTAAAATTAAAGCATGCGAGAATATGGATTAATGTAAAGTGTGTTGAAACGTGAAAAACGATTACCTTTGTCATATAGATTTATTACATACATTTGGCTTTCATATTTCCCAGTTGATTCTATACACAAGAACATGGTCTTTGTTACCAATATCAACCAACAAGTTGATAAAACAAGAATATCAACAGTCTCATTTAAAGTCATCATTTCGTAAGTTCAATGGATACAATGACCTTCATTGGTCATTGTATCGACCAAAGAACTTACGAAATGAAGTCTTTAAACGAGAATGCTGATATTTTTGTTTCAAAAACTTGTTTCTCAATAATTTACCTCGTTTTAGAATGTGTTCATACGTAGAGCATGCTCTTGCGTATCGAATCCACTGAGATATATAAACGCCATAGGCTGGTGGTATACTGCTGAATAAGTAATGGAAGTTGACGATAGAAAAGTTAAAGTCATCACGTTTATCATACTATATAGTATGCATAGAGCTTGTTTGTTAGATTACCATTAACGTCTCTTTCAAGTAAAATATCCAAGTATAAAACAGATGTGTCAGATTCTGTATCTTTCACCTCAAGCTGACAAGGATATCATTTCGACATTATAATGGAAATAACCATTAATATTTCCATTTCTAATTTTTTTCTCTGTGATAACTCTTTGAAAGTTAGGGGTAGTTTATTTCTTGATAATTCTGCCGGAATGTAAATTAGGCAGGTCGATAGGTCGGGAGCTAAGGAGGCCTAATACGCATGCAATTCTCGTGCGCATCTGTCTCTGTGTCTGACGCTAAGGAGGCCAAATATGCATGTAAATCTCGTGCGGCTGCCTTTGTGTTTGACGTCGGTTGACGAGGGCTATTGAAATTGGCATGGAATCATCATGTGATTTAAATCTATTTATCTACATTTTTAAAGTCTAAATCTACAATTTTATTTCACAATGAAATGGAAATATAGGGAATCACTGTCTAGTTAGGAGGGTATGTCAGGGACATCGCCCGTTATGCTTAAATTATCCCATGTTTCCCACTATTGTTGATGCCCTGACATACCCTCCTAACTAGACAGTGATTCCTTAATTAATTGATAGTACGTCGTCGATATATTTAAATGTTGAGTTGAAAGTTGTTATGAATTCAAAAATAGTAGATGCATGTTGAAATTTCGCATTAAGCACGTGAGAATAATATGAAAACCTTTTCCTTTCAATAATTTAAAAAAAGAAAAAGATAAAGTAGATTGCATCGATCATCATTACACATGTACCTATCTAAGCTGACAAAACATATATCCACTTTCTATTTGTTTGTAAGGCTAATCACTTGAACCGTACTTTAGAATAAATTGAATTTAATTTTGCTAGTGGTAATCTAATTTAAATTTCCCTTTCTAAGTGAGGAATTCCCCAAATTCATATACTAGTATCAGTATTTTTCCAACAAACAAAATTAATTTGAATAACCATACCTATACTGGATTTCCAAACAACACAAAATTCCTCACAAATAGAAAAGCATAGCTAGAAACAGTAAATGTTATATCAATTAAGCATCTTTCTTTACTTCTCTCAAAAATGTTAACATCTGTGAAGGAGAATCTTTAAGAATACTGTTCAACAATATATTTAAATAGTGGTGTAAATCATATGTGGGTACACTCAGAAATTCCAAGAATGTTTCAGAAAATTTGAAATAAAACGTTTTGACAAATCAATAGCATTTAAACTTGGAACTTGCAATAAAAATACGCCAGAGTCTGACACCTTTCTGTCATGTTTGTTAATTGGAACCTAACGACACTACTACTTTGAGTTTAAATTCTTAATCATCAACTTCCCTTATTTACCGTGAAAAATCACTTATTTTCGTGCTTAATTTTCATTGTTTTTGAAGGTGTGGAGAGATTTACGAATGTATGACTACCACGAAATGTAAAATTTCATTTGCATTACTACAACTAACTACATTCTCCAATCACGAAATAAAATTCCTACAAACTAATATTTTTCCTCAAAACCCCGAAAATTTGACTCCACGACAATATGTGATTTTACGATATGTCGAAATACACCCTCACCTTCATTCCCTGCATCTGGAGTTAACGTATCCTGATTAATTCGGTACGCAGGAGCATGCTCTACAATATCTAGAACGAGACGAACTTTTGAAAAAATAAGTTGATGAAACACAGATATCTCGTTTTAAGTCAACATTTTGCCAATTCTTTAATCGATACACTTGCCTTGTTAGCAAATAAAATTTATCAGTAAATGCTGATTTCATTTCATTTAATAACATTTTTGGGGGGCAAAATAAACATTCTGCATTATCCTCGATTTTTTTTTTGTTTGACACATCATGACATATAAGAACATAGTGACCGCTTTATATGGGTCGCTTCCTTCTTCTTGGCACGTGAACTTACCTCATGTGGTTTTAGAGGTCTGTGTTTACTCTTATTTTGATTTGTATTGTTTCAAATAGAATCTATTGTGGAAAATGTTCTATTGAAAACATTAAAGTGCACTTAATAAATTATATCAGCTTGCATTTATTGAAAAAAAACTTTTCTTTATACACAGCTTTGAAACATATTATGTTTGTTGAGTTCAAAAGTTTCTAGGCTCACTCGTTACAACGAGATAATTAACTAAAACCTTTCTGATTACATATGTATCCCTTAACTCTCTAAATTTAAGGCCCATTACGGGTATATGGTGACGACTCTATATGAGTGAAAAATATTCCAATGGGGCGTAAAACAGCAATCAATCAATCCATCCATTAACTCAATCAGGACAAAGGACTCAAGGGGATGATCCAGAGTATACTTCTCTCCTCCATGGCATCTAATTCTACCGTCTAGGCTATGGTCCTTGCTATGCTCTTTATATACAATATTTGGATATTTTTAGGATGATAACTGTTATTTTCATATTTCACTTCATATATATATACTATGATAAAGGTGAAATGAACTGTGATGAAACATGTTCTGGTCACATGATTAAGAATTTCGAAATATGAAGTTGTTATTTCTAATAACATCCATAGATTTCACACCTAAAAGAATAATACATAAGATTGATTTGCATACAATTATGTTTGTGTTTGTATGAATGAAAATATTAGATAATTAGCAGTGAACTAAAATACACAGAAAGTTATTTTGGCACAACCAGTGAGTTGTCTTACCTGCACACAACACTATTTAATGTAATGAAATAGATGAACTTTATCGTTTATATACTAGTACAAATAGCGAAAGTTCATAAGAACAAGGCTATATCAAATGTACCTGTGTTATCAAATCTTGCACAATTCTTTGAAATTTATGTACCGTTGTCAAAATATGCCGAGATCTAACTTGTAAAACATAGCGTTTTCTGGAGGAAAAAGATCAAAAAGAGATCAATGGCATTTTGTCGTGAACAATTTAGAATTGTTACTTAGTATAACTTTAACTTGTGCTTGCTTTATGTACATGTACTGGTATTCATCATGAATGTGTACTGAATGCCATTGTAATGTAAGCCAGTCAGGATACAAAAACGGCAATAAACGAGCACAAAAATGTAGTGTTGTCACGATGATCGATTAATAATCGATGATCGGTCGGAAAGGCTGTCGATTTTAGACAGTCGATTGGAGATTTTAACAATCGATTAATCGGTATGTTTCAGCACATATCTTTTTTTTATAGTTTTCTCACTTTTATTTCAAGAACAGACTCTTGTTATCAAAATATACATCTTCCAAGTGTTGTCCTTTACTACCTATTTTAAAATACATTACTTAAAGTCTGTTTGAAATAAATCATAGGATAATGATAATTGTACATGTATTTCTAAACTGAAGAAACTAAACTACTTGTATAAATGAAAAATATTAGTTTTCTGTATTAGGGGGAATTCACTTTTCATTTCATGCGTAATCACAAGGATTTGCAATATCAAATGTCTTATAACAGTTTAAAAAAATTAATTCCATATATACGCTCGTAATTTAGATGATCATGTAAATTAAAACCTGAAGACTGATCTGTCAATGCTTATGTTTCCCAGGTCAAGTAATTCCTAATCATGCAAAAGTCTGTATTACTGAAATTGTTAATCAAACTGCATATATACGGTTTTTAGAATTTTTAGAATTTCGATCTGTACAATGCACCTTTACTTACATTATTTAAAAATAAAATTCTAAATTTTATATGTAATATAATGCCTATTTTATGCAAAGGGTTACTGATTCGATTATTGGCCGATGATCAGTTGGTTAGGGTCAACCGATTCTACCGATTAATCGATTCTGATTTTCAACCGATTTGACAACACTACAAAAATGTAAAGATTTCTTTGCAAAAATATAAATTTTCTGATCTTTGACTCGGACACAGACTTCTTTGTACTCATTTGGTGAGTTTATTGAGAATACTTCAGTCCCTTTTGTGCTAGTTGTGTAGTATACAGCAGTCTTCATTGTGCTCAGTTGTACAGTTTGTTGAGAATACATCAGTCTTCTTTTGGTCATATTGTAGTGTACAACAGTCATTGTTGTGCTTAGTTGTAGAAGATACAGCAGTTTTTGTTGTGCTAACTTGTAGAGGGTCTACAGAGGTGTTGTGTTCAATTTCAAAACGTCCATATATTTTATTGCAATCAGTTGTAAAGGACCAACAGATTTTATTGTTCCCAGTTAAAGGATGTAAAATAGACTTTTACATGATTTAGACTGTATTTTTTCTATAACTTACCATCAGTGTTTGTACATTAAGTTTGTTTGTAAAGATTTGTTTGTAAAGCATACGATGCCTAGAGACGCGCACACGATAGTGAGAAATCGAACTTAAGACCTTTCTTAGTATTTTCTGTAGAATCTTAAATCAAGGAAAAGCAAATCATAATTGCCTTCAATCATAGTCCTCTTATGTTACAATCGTGACGAATTGGTACGACCAGAAGATAACGAAGCCTTGGATAAGGAATCCTTGAAAAGCACGTGACTTGCTGAAATATAAGTAAATGTCCCTTCTAATCGGAATTTCTTAGTTCGGACTAAATAGAGTGAACAACATGCGGCTTTTGATACTGGCTTCCGCTCTTGTTATTGCTTCGGGTATGTAAACATTGCAAAAGTTCGTATGTTACGACACTTATCAATCTTTTCAGTGTATTGTGGAAGCTTGAAGATGTGAAAGACATTGTAGGATAAAAAAGTTGAGTCCAAATGAACATGTTTTAGAAACTTTGTTCCTAATTACTGCTTTGGTCTCGCTTCAGAAACATCTGATATCTTGATTTATAATTTGATGTTAAGTTCAAAAAGGTCACTCACACCTGCATATGGTGTTTATGAATGCCAACTAATAAATTCAATACTCAAAACGTTCGCTTTTTAAACATTGGTAGGCTACTAAGTTAATAATATAAGGATTTCAACAATCTTATTTTCAATCAGCCTTTCGTAAATTCTATGTCCGTTATTATGACATTATTGGCAATTACCAACTAATCATTGGACCTTGTTTTGGCTGAACTGTTTTATACCAATTGTTAGGCCTTTTTATTTATTATTCATTTAACTTCGGAATGTCCCTTCTACTTGATCAATGCATAGGACTCACGGTAGGTATGACCAGACCAAACGACATGGGATGCTTACTCCTCCTAGACACCTGATCCCACCTTTGGAATTTTGTGGGGTCCATATTTATTTCCAATTCATAGTTTTTTTTTATTGTTTATTGATTTTAAGATCGATCACTGTACGATACCATCCTCTTTTTCATCTCATCAATGAAAATAATCAAATGTAATTTTCTGTCTCTCAGATATATTTGGTCTTACGAGGGTTTGTTTATTTTGGATTTGACAGGACTGTGCTTTCGTATTTTTAATGCTAAGGCTAAGAAGTCCCCCTCCCCCTCCCCTAACTATTATACCACCTATTTTGTCCCGGGGTCTGTATTTTTAACCCTGTTCATTTTTATTGTTTAAATGATTTATGTGATTGAGGAGGTCTACTGTTTAATTTCTTCATCTCTTCGTTTTCAAGAAAATTTCGTAACCTAGCTTTTATTATCTCAACAGAGGTAAAAATCCCATTGCACAAAACTTTTATAGCCACTCTTAGTCAGACAGCATTTCCATAAAGAACATCCAGCATGGGAATTTCTGATTGTGCAGCTAGGTGTTTAGTCTTGCAATGTTACCTTGTTGTAGCATAAACAGACGATAAAAAATTACCCACCACTACTTGTTCGAGAAAAGAATTGATTATTGTCTAATTTTCAGCTAAACCACATGCCAAATTGAATGTGAAGAATGCACCATGTGGAACACCCAGTGGTTCACCTAACGGTCTGACTCAGTACATTGTCGGCGGCGTGGAGGCCAACGTAGACGCCTGGCCGTGGCAGGTGAGCATGATTAACAGGTGGAAATTAAGTAAAACATGATTGAGATGTAGAAATAAAGTAAAACATGATTGTCAGATAGAAATAAAGTAAAACTTGATTGTCAGATACAAATAAAGTAAAACATGATTGACTGGTAGAAATAAAGTTAAACATTAGTGACAGGTAGAAATAATGTAAATCATGATTAGGTACCGACAGGTAAAAATAAATTAAACATGATTGACAGGTAGAAATTTAGCACCATATAAAGTATAAAAAGTATAAAACCAAATAATAAAACCAAGAGATGAAGAGATCTTTATGCAATAATCTAGTTCATCTATTCAAAAATACTGGAATGACTAGGTACAAAGACTTGGAGAAGTGTATTTTTTTTTTTTTACAAAAGAAAAACCCTGTCTGTTGAAGATTGATCTATATTCATAGATTAGTTTGGAGTACAATGGTCGCCACATCTGCGGTGGAACCCTTATCAGGAACGACGCCGGAGATTTAGTGGTTGTTACTGCTGCCCATTGTGTTGATGGGTAAGAAAATGACAAAATATGCAGTTTATTAAGATCTGAGAAATTGCATCGGAAATACTTGAAATCGGTTTTGTTTCGTAATAATGTAAGGCAAAGAGTCGTGCAGATATATCAAAGACAGAGAGACTATAAGTTCGAATCAGAACCGAGACTTGAATACACATATTTATACATATATATATATATATATATAACTATTCTAAAACCATGATAAATTATCTTTGGCACTCGAATTAGACGTTAATACTTGTATTAATTTTAGGTTCCTTATCAACGTTGGCATAAAATTTAATGCTATGTACTTTGACTTGAATTTTAATCGTTTCTTCTGAAACAAATTAATTTTTTTATAGTTCTCTTGGAAATCCAAGTAACCTAAGAATAAAAGTAGGAGAGATGAGATTAAGTCAGAATGTCGGACAGCGTATGGCTGTCCAGGAGGTACGAAAGCATAGGAGTTATAACTCGGCAACAATTAACAATGATATTGCCATATTAACATTTACCACTCAGCCAACTGAGAGCAGCTCAGTTATGCCTGCGTGCATGCCAACAAGGGATCATGGAGTAAACGAATTGGCCTACGTTACCGGCTGGGGCACTACATCTGAGGGTAAGAATGTTAAGAAGAGATATATCAGATTGTTTTCACAATTTTAATCATGTGTGAATATGGTGGCACATTTCTGTCCCATACATGCAAGATAAATTATGTCAACATGCGTCAAAATATGCCAACGTGCAAGATAATTATCCCTATATGCAAGAATTAGTACATATCAAAACACTTCTTTGGGATGTAAAAGATGCTTCTATGCAAAATTTAAAAAAAAATCATGTTTATTGCACCTTGTTCAAAGGACATGAATTAAGCATGCTTAATGCTTTTGGCAAAATTCATGTCAAATTTCCTTTTTTAATAAGTAAGAGGTTTTGTGAAATATAAAATTTATTATATCATATTATTACTTGTAGGTGGTTCCACGACCGACAGACTAATGGAAGTCTCCAAGCCTATTTTGTCTGATACCGCCTGTGCATCTTTCCTCGGCAGTTCTTACAAGAGTGCCACCATGTTGTGCGCAGGTTACGAGGCAGGTGGCGCTGATGCTTGCCAGGTACTTGATTCCGTTAACAATGTTCTATTCTGATTTCTTTCGTATTTACATGTAAGTCAAATCTAGCACACCCTTCAATCAAGATTTAAAGGGAAAACAGTGTATTCTAACTAAGATAGGAACAAATTAAATATTTAAATTATAAATATTTCAGCAATTGTATATTTGCAGAAGACTTCATTTCATTTGCTTTCACATAAATGAAGAGCGTGATCGGGGGGTCGCAAGTTCGAATCCCGGCCGCGACTGACCCAAGTCGATAAAAAAGGTTGCTACAATTCCTTCACCAAGCGTTTGGCACTTTGAAATAAGAGTTGCGCGCTCTTCAGATGACACCTTAAAAACCGAAGCCCCGTCAGGCGTGTGCACAAATGCTAATTTTTTCTAACTAAAAGTTATAAAATGGTATCCCTTAAATCACTGTTGACAGGAATACATCCATTGTATTCATTACAAAACTTCACAAAAGCATTAAGTTCTGTTATTCATTTAATTTAGGGAGACTCAGGTGGACCTTTTGTTGCTCAAAGAGGTGGTGTTTGGGAATTGGCTGGTAGGTTTCACTTTTTGATTTGGTAAACTGTTGATGTATTCAAATACTAAAACGATTGAGAAAATGAGCTGTATTTTAGACACTATTGATTCTGAATGTGTTTTTATGTTTTAGGCGTGGTGAGCTGGGGGTATGGATGCGCTAGACCAGAACTTCCCGGAGTTTACGCTGATGTCTGGAATTATGTCAACTGGGTTAAAGCCAACTGGAGCACATGAACATATACAAAATACTCCAGTAATTAATAAATATGATATTTATACCTTGATAGCCATCACGTGTTACGTGTTTTATAGTAAAGCCATTTTTGATCTTATCAAAGAGGCAAATTGGGGTTCATACACATTGTAACATCACAAATTGAGATATATTCTTTTGGGAATATACAGATATCATTCTTGAAAAAAGAGAACATTTGTTTCTCTCAGGAGCGATAAAGTTATTAATACGAGTATATTAACAGAAATAATTGTACAAAAAAAAAAGATTTAGTGCTCTTTACTCTATCTTGAAATCGTATTTGCATTCTCTTAGCATTTCACTGCCTTCAGCTCTGAATCAAAAATATGTAAATATGAAAAGCATCTGAACAGACGAAAACATTTTTCCTATCATTCCGACAAATACCTTTCATGAAGAAAAAAACTTTCGACGAAAAAAAACAAGGAATGTTTACTCCTATAGGCACCTTATCCCACTTCTGGTATTTCAAGGGGTTTGTGTTTTATGTCTTATTTACAATTCAAATTTAGATTTTTTTTTTTCAGATCGACCACTATATTCGTTTTATTCAAATTGTACATTTATATTGAATGGCATTTCATCAACATTCAGCATAAAGCATGTAGAGTAGACTTGTTTCTAATATTGTATGTAGTATTGGGTATTGATATGCTTGGTTCAGTAAAATTTCGTAAAAAATAAAATAATTAAGGAATGAATTTAATAGCTACCCATTTTATACGGTATAAACTGGGTTGGGACAGTTTACGCTTTATAAACCGCGAAGCGGTTTATAATTGTGTTTCAGTGTTTTATAAATTGAATTTAAAAGCGTAAACTGTTCCAACCCAGTTTATACCGTATAAAATGGGTAGCTATTAAATTCATTGCTTATAATTTAATTTTCATTCATTTGATGTAAGAAAAAAAGATGATTGTTCTAACAAAATGACTTTTGTTTGTACAAAATTTGAATGTAACGTCAGGCGGATTGATACGTTTTTGACGTAAGTCATTGTGACGTAGGCAACCCATTTTATACGATATGAAGTAATTTTTTTATTCAATCAAATACAGCGTTACAACCAGAATTAAATTATATATAGATAAAAAAAAAAAAACAATTAATAGTATCTAGATGGTGTCGTACAATGTTTCAACACTATAATCTTTAGATTTAGCGTGATTAGATATCTACACTGAAGCTGAGGAAAGGCATATTTTCTTTTAAGAAATAAATATGGGCTTCTTTGATCAACTAGTATCACAGAGATTAAAACTCTATATCAAACTGTTCGTAGAGGTTAAGACGGTTTGAAGAAATTTGCTAATAGTTACATTTATTTTTTCAGTAAATATTTGTACTAGAACGTTTGTACCTATTGGTATAGAATTTGAATAAACGAATCATTTTAAAGTTATGTAAAAATACAGAATGACAACTAGATAACACAATTTGTCAATAATTATATCAATATTTACACATAATCAAGTCTTATAGCTGCTAATGTAATGTAAATCCTTTTTATCATATAAATGAATCTTAACTCATATATATTATTTCTTTATTGCAAAGAGATTATTAAAACTACCATAACAATAAATATCCTTTTGAAATTGAATTTGTTTTGTTCCTTGCCAAGTTTTCGAATATTTTAACTTATTCCCATCCTACTATAATTATAGAAGACATATTGACAATTTAAAATGAACAACTCAAACGTCATTGTAGGTCAAAACCTGCTCTTTATTTGATATAAAAAAGCAACATATAATATAGAATTTCACATATATTTTTTTACTCTAATGGACTCTTCCATATGCTCAAAAATTGATATTGGTACATTTATTAAATAGTTGTTTGAATACAAATATAGCGATAACACCGTCCTGCATACCAGTGTTTCTGTATTCAGTACACGACATATCGTTAAGCAGAAGCATGCTACTGCCAAATGAGGAATCCTCTGTAAAATCAACGTTTTGCAAATCTACGGTCGTTACAATAAAATTATTTGCAAATGGATGCACAAGTACAGCCCATTTTGTATTTTGACTGACATGCTTCATATCAATAGGTAAGCCATATTGTTTTAAACTAATTTTGACTACAGAAGTCTCCCTTTACCTGACCAGCAAGATAGATTCAAAATGGTCAAACTAAACATGCTTCATATCAATAGGTAAGCCATTGTTTTAAGCCAATTTTGACTACGGATCACTCCGTTTACCTGATCAATACGGAGGGCACCTGACAGGTGTGACTGTTAACGGGATCATTCTTATTCCTCCTAACGATCTTATCCAGTTCTGATGTTTATGGAATCCGTTTGTTTGCACTTCTTGGATTAATTTCATTTACAAATTAAAACTACCATTATCATCTTATTTTTAAATATATAAAATAATCAGATAAAAAATGAACTGTTTCTTTAAATCAAATAATCATTCTGACTGATTAGGAATGGAAATTGTCTCCAGTTTATATAAAAGGACCAACTCTAAAGTGATCAAATACGTAAAAAAAAAATATATTACTTTAAATTGATTATAAAACTGAAATATTATTATTAATCGTGATCAAAGTTAAAATAATGTACTAAAGATAAATAATATAAATAATTTTTTGAAACAAAACACACTTATTTTCTGTTAATTTTTCACGCTTTGCGCAGATTTATATACATGTACTCTATCAGTGAATGTCTCATTCAATTGTTTAAATTGAAATTATGTTTTCTTCGGTATGGCGATTTATGGATATCATTTATAATTGTTGGATTGATATGAAAAATGGCGGTGTTGCAGAAATTTCTTTTGTCCTGCTGTCAATATAAAGAAATGTCATATGAATTGGTCATTCACGACATTTTGAACCATTTTCTTCATCAGTTCGTACCGTTTCGGTGGAGCAAAATTTTTGGATTGTTCGTATTTGTTTTCTAACTGTGAGACAGTATCTGACACAAGAGAGCACCGACCCTTCAACCCGTTCACCTGATGACGTAATTGTTCAACTTCCGACTCAATCTGTTCTACAGACATATCTGAAATAAGAATGTGTTCAAGATGGTGAACCTAAACATTTCTTTATATCTTAATGCTATATTTTTTTCTTCTATTAATATGTAAAAGTAGTTTATTAAATAAGTTCCTTTGACAGATATTTTACTTTGCTTTAATATTTTTATTCTTTAAAATAAAAACACAACCAACCATCTAAATCTGCCTTTCTCCTTGTTAATTCTAGAGAATAGGACAATTCTTTATATCCATTGGCAAGGCTTCGAATTCCAGTTATCGAAATAGATCCAGGAACTTTATCTTCATTAAGTTTAAAATGAAGAATTGTTCTTTTAATCATGCCTTTCAGTAAACCATAGCGCCTTAAGGGGTCGAAATCTTTAGATCTCTCATAGTCTTGTTGCAGAGTGTACACAACCTGTCTGACGTGTTTATATTCACGCTGAAGTGAGTTCAGCTCCATACACAGTTGTTCGTGAATTTGCCTGATGTTCTCTTTGTCTTTTCCTCTTTCCTGGTTGAGACTTTTTCCTTCAATACATTATAATAACTTTACTCCTACAATGTATTTGAATGATTACTGATACTCCTCTCAAGAAGCAGCTGATTTTAGCCAAATCTTTATTTCTATTAAGAAAAATATGTCTGTATTCCCAAGTTAATTTTAAAATCCAAGGTTAGAAATTGTATTCATTATTGTTTTAAAGGGTGTCATTTTGAGATAGTACATGTATATGTATCGTCCACCGACAGGGTATCAAATATCTTACAAGAATATGCAGGAAAGTTTTACTTAAATTTTACTTGCTTCATAACACCAGGAACGATTGCATTCATTATATAATGAAGAGGTGCATTACGGAAGATACACATTGTTGAGTTCTGGGATAGGATAGAATCAAAAAGTGGTTTCAAAGTTTTACAAGAGAATGATTTATAGACTTTGAAAATTTCAACTAGAAATACAAGATGTTGTTAGTTATATTAAAGTAAAAATTTCCCACATACCCCTTTTATGTAAATACTATGTTTTAGAGGAACAAACTTGAGCTGTATTTTGTAAAATAAAAGAGTTCTTTCCAAAAATAGGTTGTGCAGCGGTAAGAACGTCTTCTGTATTAGGGTTGCGTCGTAAGATATTGATCCTTACGTCGCGGAACAAGAACAAAGGAAAAGGTATTGTTGTAGGTCAGAAAACAATTCCTCAAGAACATGTTTTTCCAAAGATTTTTGCTTGAACACGTTTTTTAATATACAAAAACCGGATTCCTTATTAATAGGGATGTCAACGAATAGACTTTTCGACTGTCAGTCAAATGAACCGACTATCGAATAATGAAACAACATTCGAATATTAAATAAATGCAAGAAAAGGGTCGTGATAAGTACATTCAAAATCCTCCATCAAACTATGGTTTTACCTTAATTTTTATGTAAATATTTTTGAAATCACTGGAAAATACATTTGATTGTTTTTAACCAAAATATACATGTAATATATGAAAATTTTTAATTGACTTGTACCAATTATGTTTACAAACTCTAGGAATTTCAAATGCTTAGGAACACAAAATATTTGCAAAGCCGTGAAGTTTTAAAGTTCGATAATTATTAAAACTATATGATAATATTACACAAAAGACATTTTGATATATAACTTGGGCAATTATTAATTGAACAAACGGTATCTAACAGTTTCATTGGAGGTGTGGATAGTGTGTGTTTACAATTCCCCATTTCCAATTTATTTAAATTTCCCAACTTATTTTTATTAATAAGCTTTCAAAATTCTGTGCTATAAAAAAATAAATGCTCCGAATAGTCGACTATCTTTCGAATAATGCAATCGAATGTTCGACTAAGGAAAATTAATATTCTGACATCCCTACTTATTAAGCAGTTGTGCAAAATTTTAGACGATGGTTTTTCCTTAATTTTCCTATTTTTAATCACTTACATTTGATTGTTTTTTTAATACCAAAATATCACATGCTTTTTAAAATGAATTTTGCTCCTAGGTTACAACTAGGCTACGATTCAAAGTGTGTTAAAGTTGGGACCAAGTTAACGCACTTCGAAAAAAAAATTTCAAAATGCGTCAATATCGACAATATAAGCGCACTTAGCAAAAAGTGCATTAAACATTACAAAATAGGAGCGGAACAAACACCAACCTCGAAACAATAGTTGGGATCAGGTGCCATGGGGGAGTGAGCATCGCCTGCCGACCGTTCACACCCGCCATGCTCCTTGTCATGATCGGGAAACATCGGAAAATTCCGTGGACAAATCAGAGCGTTAATAATGGCCCGGCCATCAGTATAAAACAAGTCAGTCAGCATTTGATAAATTTTATTTGCTGACAAGGTCATTTTATCGACCAAAGAACTTAGTAAATGATGACTTTAAACGAGACTGTTGATATTTTTTCTTCATCGACTTGTTTGTCAATAACTTTACTTGTTTTAGAAATTGTTCATACGTAGAACATCTCTTCCGTTTCGAATCAAATGAGAGATATAAACCCCGTATGCAGGTGACAAAGGTATATTGCTTCAAAAGAAAGGGAAGTTGACGATTGAAACGTTAAAGTCAACACTTTTATCACAAAGCTTTGATGTCAGATAACCATTAACGTCTTTTTCTAGTAAAATATCCAAATATGAAACAGAATGAACTTTTGGACAATTTTAAATCATGGGTATTTAACAAAATCAAAAGCTTAAACAAGAGGCTCATGGGCCATGGGCTAGTTAAAAAACACAAATGAGCCCAGTATTGAGAAGTTAACCTGTTGGGGGAGGGGGATTTGAATTTTTTATTACTTGAGAATGTCACTATATCAGTAAAACATACCTGTATAATTTTGCCATACTTGAGAAGAAGAGTTTTAAAGATTTTTCCTATATATTTCTACATAAAGATTTGATTGCCCATTACGGCCCACCTTACCCCCAGGGGTCATGATATGAACAAACTTGAATAAACTCTAACTGAGAATGTTTCCATATTAATATAACCAATCTTAGCTTTGCTTATCTTGAGAAGAAGATTTTAAAAAGATTTTTCCTATGCAAAACTTTGATTAGCCATTGTGGCCCCACCCTATCCTCGGGGGTCATGTTTTGAACAAACTTAAATTTACACTACCTGAGGATGCTTCCACATTAGTTGCATCTTTACTGGCCTAATGCTATTGGAGAAATTTTTTTTAAAGATTTTTCCTATATATTCCTATGTAAAATTTTGATCAGCCATTGTGTCCCCACCCTACCCCCGGGAGTCGTGATTTGAATATACTTGAATTTTATACTACCTGGGGATGCTTTCACATGATTTTCATCTTTCCTGGCCCATTGGTTCTGGAGAAGAAGATTTTTAAACATTTTTCCTATTTATTCCTATGTAAACCTTTGATCAGCCATTATGGCCCCGTCCTGACCCCGGGGTCTGATTTGAAGAAACTTTAATCTAAACTACCTAAGGATGTTTCCACATGAGTTTTATCTTTCCAGGTCCGATGGTTCTGGAGAAGATTTTTAAAAGATGCCATTAATTTTTCATTAAGTCATAATTATCTCCCCTTGGAAGAGAGCTTGGCCCTTCTTTTGAACAAACATGAATCATCTTCACCCAAGAATACTTTGTGGCAAGTTTGAATGAAATTGGCCCAGTGGTTCTTGAAATGTGAAAAGTTTACGACGACAACGACAACAAAGACAACGACAGACAACGGACAAATTTTGATCAGAAAAGTTCAGCCTTCGGTTCAGGTGAGCTAAAAACTTACGACTTTTCAACTTCATACACAACCATTTCCCAGGTTAAATTAAAGTCCAGGCTTTTTTATGTTATTGACAGCTGTTTTTTAAGTAAAAATTGAACTCGCAATTTTAGCTATCTTGTCATTGGTCATTTGCAAAATTATTTTGTTAAAACATTCTACACACAAGTACTCTGAATTTTACATCAAAAAGATGCCTGAGTTTCTGATTGACAATATCTATGTTGTTTTTGAAGACCAGGACTTCCAACAATCTATTGGAATTCCAATGGGCACTAATTGCGTCCCGTTATTATCAGACCAAATTTTTCTCGGTGAGAGTAGATCAATTCATGTTTGAAAGAGATATAAGAAAATGCTACCTTTCACAAAAATCTAAGTCCAGACATATTCTTTCAAAGTACTTTAAGTGTTAAGGGTAAAAAGAAATGATGGACATTTTAACGTACTTTGATTTTTTTTAAGTGCGTTGATTTTGTCTCATTTTCATCGCACCTTGAAAAAAAAATCAAAGTGCGTAATTTTTTTCGAAGTGCGTTTCCACGTCTTATATGATAATATATGGCCCATGTGGTTGAAAGTAGAGGCTAAATTTGTTTTGAATTTTTAAGCTATTCGTACTTGTCCTTTAAATTATAAATTCGCTCCCCGGTAAGTATTGGGAAAAAAAAACTAAGTGATATTGCCACACTACACTATAACTTATCATCAATTCATCACTTCTACCAAGAGGAAAATAAAATGTCAAATTTTTAAATCATTTTAAAATAGCGAAAAATATGAACATCCATTGTACTGTTGCAATGTGTATCAAGGTTAATTCAAAGTCTTTTGGGTCGAAGCAGTTAATCTGATATGTATTTTAAAGAGCAATTTCGCATTTAATTAAGAGAACTGGGATTGCATTTCTCCAGTCGGGGATATCATGTGAAATACTGTTAAAATGTCATAACCTGTAATATGTTCTAGATAAGGTGTTCTTTTAGATCCATGTATGATATAGAGCCATTTTCTTACCCCTAAAAGCGTTAGCCCTTGACGGAAAATCAAATATCAGGTTCATCTTTAGCGTAATTTGTGTGTTCTACTTGCTATCAACAATCCACTGAGGGGTTTTACTATAATAGTCTAATGGAACTCATACATGATAAACACTTTTCAAAGATAGCAATAAAATCTATACCCAAAATGAAGACTAGATTATGGATAGGTATAAACAAAGAAGATTGGAAGCGGTCTAGTGAGGTTGCTTTAGTCTGTGATTTCTTTATCATAACATTAAAAGTCAGTCCCTGAGAATACAAACAATTTCTAATACAAGTGTCAGAGTATCGCGTAAATGTTCAGATACTTTGTTAAAACAAATATCGATTGGATTATTTTAACATTTCCTTCTCATCAAAATAGTTATTTAAAATGTCCATTTCACCGAATATATTTCAATATTTCCAGGTCCTTTGGTCGATACAATGTCCTTGAAGCAAAAACGATCTCTCACTAAGCAAATGCTTACTGACGTTTTTTCATACTAATTCTTATTTGTTAAACTCTGAATTGTCCACGGATTTTCTTCCTTTTCCCCCTACTTCTACGACAAGGAGTGTGACAGGTCGGCAGGGGATCCTCACTCCTCAATGGCACCTGATTCCATCTCCGATGTTTTCGGGGCCCGTGTTTGCTCTACTCCTAATTTTTTTTGTTGGAATATAGTAATGACCTTGAAAATTGTTTGATAACTCCATATTTC